ATGCTCAGAACGGAGTCAGATGGGCGCCTTTTCGCGAAGGGAGAGCGTGTGGAAGTGGGTGGTGGTTCTGGGATGAATATGAAAAGGGAATTCGAGTATTTATACAAAAGACAGACCTCTCTTCACAGTTTTCAGAATTCAGATGATTTTCCCTAGACTGTTAAGGATGTCAAAATCGAATCTGACAGACAGGTTAACTTACCATAATCCACATGCATGTTACATGAACAAAAAGACCATCCAATTGCTAGCATGATTCACAGTTCTAGGCTTTCGTTGAACCATCCGATGGAATTAAGATATCCCGTTCTTTCGGCTTCCCGGCAATTGATGCTTGGCAGCCTTATGAGATATCACGCTTCTTTGACGTTTGCACAATGGCTTGCTTGATAGCTTGGATTTATCTGCACAATCTGCAGCCGTAATCCTCAGTTCTTTCTGCTAACCATCCGATGGTTTTGAGATATCCCGCTTTGCTGGCTTTCAAACGAATACTTTTTGACCAATCATCTGCAGCTACTATTCATGAGTCTTACTAACCATCCGATGGATCTGACATATCCCGCTTTTCCGGCTTCTCGGTAAGTTCTTTCTTTACAGCTTTGATAAGTTTGCTGCACTCTGCTCTCTTGTCCGTGCGTTGAGACCTCTGCAGTACCGCTCTGCTCTGCAGGTATGAGTGAAGGTATTAAACCTTTGGATGGTGAAAGTTTTGTGTATGCATCTATCGTTATTGACATGGCCAGTCAAATGACCCATCGATGCATGTGCAACGGGAGCAGCAGGTATGATGTGACATGCTTTTTTTGAATGGGCTATTCAAATTCAAGTCTTTTCTCATCATGGTCATCCAAAAGGATAAGTAATCAAGTTGGCTGACAATGGATGAATGCTATGCACGCATGCCTACGTATACTCCATATTAGCGAGACTTTATGCAAGAAGAAAGTCACTAAAATGACTGAGTTTCATACACCGACTGAGAATATCACAACCCATGATTCCATGAAAGTCATGCGATAACGCCTTGATCAGAGTGAGATGTCTCGGAATAACATGGAATGCTAAATGCAGCCGCAACCTATGGACCATCTGCTCGTTGTCGATCCACAGGGATATGTCCATCTCTGCATCACGAACTTCCGTGTAAGAGCATAGACCCAAATGGATTGATCACAATGGCTTGTGTTTAGTTGACCAGATCCACACATGAATAAGAACCGATTGAGGCTGCGTTGTTCATTCTTCTCACCCAGCAAGAATGATTTTTCAAGGATCAGGTGTTCCCTACTACCACTCACCATAGAACATGTTTAAGAAAAGCAAAGTCGACGTCGAGTGAGATTCTGATGTCGCTGTCGTGGATTCCGATGAGGATGTTCACCTAAAGTATTGGATAATCGTACATTCATTCATTCATCATTCGAATACATATTACCACGACGATTTGCGCACTCCGATCAATTGTCCTGCTCTGGCTTTTAGTCTGAATTGATACTGAAGAAAGAAATGAGTCAGATTAGAGGTCTCTCACTGGATAACTAGAGATCCTGCAATGGTATACTTACTCTGCAAAGACCGAATTCAGTCAGAATACCTCTCCCTCTTCCTGTTTCGATGCATCGTTCTTTAACTTCAACCGGTCTGCTACTTGTTGGGAATTGGTTTAATTGTAATTGTGCTTGATGACGTACTCGAAATGGTAAAGTTGTATTGCGTGCGACATATTTGAATGCTCTTCTCAATAGTTCATGTGATGTTACAGATTGCCTTTTGGTCATATCCCGTCTAAAAAGTAAGAAAAAGGTCTTTGTCAGGATTTAGCTTCTTTGTGATGTCATCAACATACTTACAGAACACGGGCATTTGGTCTGAGTGGCATTGTGAGACGATTGATGAGATGGTGTTACGATGATGATGATGATGACGAGAAATCAGTAAGCTGCCAAAAGCAAAAAGATTCCTTTCCCCTGTAAGAGTGCACGCGACAAAAGCCGAGTTCCGAATATTGACTGTTAAGCAGAATGCCCAATCAGCTTTTGTCTATTGCACCTGTTAAAGCCGAAGCGCGACTCATTTCACGCCCCCCAAATTCTCTCTCTCTCTCGCCCGCAGTGAATCACACCCGCCATTCACAAACCCCGTTCAACAAAAGATGCAAACATTCATCCTTTCAACCATCATCGCATACAAGAACAAAAGCAAACACTGGATTGTTACGCTTTGCAATAGAGTATTCTAAGATGTTTTGTGCTAGTACAACGGCCAGACAATCGGCTTTGGCCACCATGGGAAGGCAGATATCAAAAGCTTCAGGTATCGCCTCCACAAGTTATGGTTCTTGTTGGAGAATGAATACACCAAGACAAATGATGGCTTCAACACAAGCAAGTTCAAGTAGAATAGCAATCGAAAGCCACAATGATGAGAGAAATGTCAATTCTATAAGACAATTCTCCACTTCATCGCGAAGAACAAAGCCTACTTCTACTTCGCCACCTGAACCTGCAATCAGCACACCTCTCGATTCACCTCCAAATCCAATCACGCCAACAGGACGGTTGAAAGAAGAATCAAAAGATTCTCTCGCCACATCGGAAGAAGCATGTCAGACATTATCACCTTCTTCACCTGCAGCGCCACGCACGCAAAAGAAGCCAGAAGAATCAAATGCTTCTCATTTGGAATTCAGTAAAGCAATCCCTCCTGAAATCGTCAACAAACCATCTATAGGACGTAAAGGAAGTGGAAAGTTTCGAGCTCAAAAAGCAGCTTTGACTCTCACGCCAACAGCGCTTGAACGTGTTCGATCTTTACTCGATGCAAGTGGCGGACCAAAGTTATTACGGATTGGGGTACGTAATAAAGGTTGTGCTGGAATGAGTTATCATTTGGAATACGTCACTCCAGATCAAGCAGGCAAATTCGATGAGCGAGTGAAACAAGATGGCGTTGAAGTTTTGATCGATAGCAAAGCTTTATTCAGTATCATTGGATCAGAGATGGATTGGCAAGAAGATCGCCTCTCGGCCAAATTCGTATTTAATAATCCCAACGTCGTCGAAGCTTGCGGATGCGGAGAGAGTGTGCGATTCGCATAGACAAAGGTGGCTTCGCGCTGAGCAACCTTATTTACCCTCTGGATGAGCATCTATATCCCCGTACAATTTTGGACTAGATAAAGGATGATGATAATTGTATGTCATTTGTGTATAATACATATGTGTGAAACATTTTCCGTGTCAGTTCATTCGTCATAAGTTCTCATCTTTTCCGGCCAGGATTGACGTTTAATGTCTTCTCACGTTCAACACCACCTTGACTTTGACCGGCTGGAGCGGTTGATGGAGTTGCCGTTTCTCTTGGTTTTCTGAAACACAAGAATTCCAAAGCTGTTGCTTTTCTACTGGCCACCAAGATTCGCTTCACACTCTCCAGCTCAGTTTGCAAAGAAGCATTTTCCTCTTCCCCTTTCGCGCCAGATTGACGAACGTATTTTTGACTGATAGTTTCATAAATTTGCTTCAAAATCTTTTCCGAGTTGGGTGTAACGTAAACGGCTAACGTTTGATGAACGAATTCGATCTCTAGAGTGGCCTGTAACATTCCTCCCATTCCAAATCGATCAATATTGCCAAATGATTCCAAGACAATGGATGCCAATTGCTCTAATAGAGTTCGAATCGTTCTTGCAACAAGCGGTTTGGCAACAGCTCTTACTTGAGCATGAATTTGAACGAGTGCCAATAAAGCTTCATAGATGTATGCATGCACTTCAGCAGGTTTTGGTAACTTGTTCCATTCGATTCCACTTTCCAAAATGCCTTTCTGGAAAATGTCATTGACGATCTTGCTCTTCCTTTCGATGAAATTGCTGAATAATATCTTGTCCAATTCCACGGCAACCTCATCAATCGTGCGTAGATCCTCTCCCATCCTGGCTCGAAAGGCTTCATGGAATTGCTTTGCCATCCCAGGCACGATCACACGTGTGAAGTGAGATAGATTAGTAACTGCAAGCAAGATTCGAGTATCCAATTCTTTTACATCGATCACGCTCCTTTGCTTTGTAGACGGATCGACAAGCAGCTTTTGCGAAACCGATGTAGTTGTATCCAAAGGATTGTATTCAGAGAAGGCAAGGTGTACCAAACCATCCAAGAAGACATAGATTGCATCCACAAACGTCGCTTTAATACGCAAAGTGAACTCAGTCGGTATTGTTATACTTGTAGAGGACGAAGTAGAGCTCGAAACAGCCTTAGTGGTGCTATTTGCACTTGCTGCAGCATTATCTTTACCGCTCGTGCTTGCCAATTGATAAGCTGTTCGGGCATTGTTCGTATGGAATGCAGCAACCTCGCCCAAAAATATCGTAGTAGCCTCCTCTTCAGGATTCAGAGTCCAATCTTCTAAGCGATGGAAGATCTTTGCATCTTCTTGCCATAGTTGGCATAGAACCTCCACGAAGCAAAAGCTTGAATTGACCAATAAATTCTGTAATGTGTCTGCTGTTGTTCCAATTTTGAGAGCTTTGAGATCGTTGACAGCTTCATTCAATTCGGAGAGGATAGCGTTGAGAAAGTAACCGGCAGTCATACTGCAAGATTTGGGTACCCAAGCAGGCAAAGTAGAAAGGTCTTGTCGGGCAAGAATACTGACATCGGTAAGATGAAAGAATTGTACCAATGTCGCAACGAATGCTTCCACATTTTCAGTCGCCCATGCCCGTGCTTGTGCCTGAATGGCAGATGATCGAGTTTTGAGTTTGCCATCAGCTATTACACGCCAAAAGCTCGGTAATGTTTGTGACATTGTTTCACACACCAACCGGACCAAATCAAGAATAGCCTTCCATCCTTGTACACCAATCATACGATCAAATGATTGTTCAGGTTGCGATAATTGCCGAACGCATGCTTGCAGATCTTTAGCACGCTCATTCTCGCCATGATTGACAAGGCCTTCGATCGAAGAAGCGGCTTCTACTTTGGCTATTCCAGTATCGAACGATTTTCTCATTAGATTTCGGATATGCATATGCTGTGATTCCAAGAAAACAGCGACTGGATCTTGTCCTATGTCTAATTCCTGCAAGATTTCTATTGTCTTTTCTTGCTCTTCTACAGGTCTTCGAGGCTCTTGCAATTGTTTCAATAATCGATCACGCATATCTTGCATTGTAGCTTCCACGGCATCCCACACTTTGGCAAACACACGTTGTTGTTGAGCATGCTGCTTAGCATTGGCGGGATTGGAATTGACGTCACTCAATCCGGCAAGATTTGCTGAATTGCTTGTAGTGAGCGTGAGCAGTTGACCTGGTCTACTTTCCATCAAGTACTTTCCACGTTTATAGTCTCGTAATGCTTGATCGTATTTTCCTGCCTCGATTGCTTCACCTAGACTACCGGGTAAATTGAAGAAGAATCGAGATCGTTCAAAGACGCTCAGTGTGCTTCTTAGCTTTACGGCTTTCAAATTATTCTCCAACACGGGCATGAAGACTTGATCTGCTTTTGCACTTGCGTTTCCCAAGATGCCCTTTAAGCGGCCAATGCCGTATTCGTTCTCCTCATGCAAAGGTCCTTCTTTGCTCTCTCGCATTTCTCGATAAACACCATCTGTTGTTGCTTTCACTGCTACGAATTTATCAAAGTTGCTTTCCACCAAGATTCGTAATGCTTCTGATCTTTGTTCGATTGAATGTTTGAGGAATGCGTTACCGGAATTGAGATCTGCAAATGTTGCATCAGGATGAACGGTTGATAAGAATGTTTTAGGATCAAAAGTTTTGCTGGAAGGATGAACCTGAGCGATTGTTTCCTTATCTACCATGCGATTGAGAGGTAAGACACCACGCAAACCGAGAGGATCAGGCTCATCGTTGATCAAATCTCTCTGAGCACCACCCGAAGTAGAATGATCAACCTCTGTCCAAACTGTAGGTTGTAGATTATCAAGATTATACGCTTTCAAGAGCGCAACTTCATCGATTTCGTCCATCGTTACAGGTGTATGGCGATCATTTGGAGGGTATCATGAATGATGATGAGAATCAAGAGGGAGGAGGAGTTGTGTGTATGCATGCATGATATGGCTTGTGCGCCCTGAGCTGATGAGGAGACGCGATACGCTGTACTCAGCCTGGATAATTGTTTAGCGTGGCTTGCCTGCTTAAATTTTTAAAAAATAAAATTTTGATTTCTTAACGAATCATCAACTCTTCACCTTTCTTCTGATCCACTCACCTCAGTCATACTATCGCATACCAAACATGGCTCTCAGAAATGTCGTTCATCGACGCAATCATAAAGAGCGATCACAGCCGGGTAATAGACGCAAATTTGGACTATTGGAAAAGCATAAAGATTATGTAGAACGTGCAAGGGATCATCATGCCAAACAAGAAAAGTTGCAAAGATTGCAACAAAAAGCCGCTTTACGCAATACGGATGAATTCAATTTTGGAATGATAAAGAGTGCAACAAATAATCTACTAGATCGAGCAAAAGGTGGAAAACATCATCAAAGTAGAACGGGTACAAGCTCTTTAGATCTTTCGAATGATTTAGTGGCAATCCTCAAATCTCAAGATGTTGGCTATTTACGAAATGTAGCAAGAGCTGAAGAGAAAAAAATAGAACAAATCAAAGAGAAAATAAAGCCATCGATTGGATCTTTACCAATGCAATGGCTAGATGAGAAGGAAGGAAGACGAGAAGCTTTGGAACGGCATGGATTACTACAACCTTCAAAGAAGGCGGGAAGACTGAGCAAAAAAGCTTTGGAGAACAGCAACATCGCATCTAGTGGAAAAAAGACAGTTTGGGTCGATAGTGTTGAAGAAGCAAAGAGAATGAGCCCAACGAAAGAGAAGAAAGGAATCTCATCTTCTTCAAAGGGTAAAGCAAAAGCATATGATGAGGAATTCGGATCCCTTGCTGCCATGGAACAGTTTGCAGATGATGACGGTGATCTTTCATTCGACGAAGCAGATGACTCAAAAAGTAACACAAACTCTCGACCAGTTGAAAAAGCTTTGACAAAATTGGTAACTGAACTGATGAGCAGACAAGAAAGGCTAGATTCACTCAAACAAGCTCAACAAAAGCTGGAAACAGTACGCCATCTGATGACAACAAAAGGCACTTCTGTCCGAAAGCTTAAATCGAAAGAAGATACTTTACGAGACGCAGTTGCAAAAGGCGCAAGAGTGACTAGTAATGGACTTGCTTTGCCTGGACCGGACGAAGAAGATGAGAGCGATGAAGAAGAGGTACCCGAACAGAAGCAAAAATCTCTGTGGAAATGGGGCAGAGAGCGAAAGAAGTGATTGTACAAGAGCCTTCCTTTCTTAGAACATTCCAATTCACATATATTCCCAAACATATGGTACATGATATACATGAGACAAAGAGGGAAAGACTATTGAAGCGGGACAAGGGAAAGATCCGAACAAGTACAAAAAAAAAGTATAGTACAATTTGATCAAGCACGTTGACTATCATGAGGGAATGGTGATCGTAAAGAAGGAGCAGGACTCGCCGAAAGATCTCGCCTTCGTTTTGTGCCGGCAACCGTTTTTTGCATCTTTGACGATTCACCATTGGTGCGAGCGATAGCACGTTTGGCCGGTGAAGCAGCGGTGGGATGAGCAGTAGCAGTGTTGGCCATATCTTTGCCTGTCTTACGAATAATGGAAGCGGGCAAGCTCTTTGCCATAGAACCTTTTTGTGGATTGGCCGAAGTGATGGCTTGATCGATGGTCAAAGGAGGAACAGTGGATTCTGCAAGACGATGCATGGTCGGATATGAAGGCGGAGAAAAGCTGTAAGAATTTGGAGCAAAATTGCTTCTACGACTCCAAACGGAAACGAAAAGGATACGCTTCAATTTACGGTTGTAAAAGAATGCATAGGTGGCCCACAATAAACCACTTGGACCTTGGCCGTCATCGTCTAAACCTTCATCGCCATCTTCATCGGAATAATATGAAGAAGATGTAGGATACATTCCACTGCTGCTACTTCCATACGAAGTGATGCGATTGGACAAGGTGTGCACGAAAGATCCAGGGTTTGTACCATCTCTATTTGACAGTGTAGAAGGTCGACCTGTTTTCTTGTACGAGAAGAAATCACCTGCCCGTGCACGAGTGGATGATGGTGTGCGAGGAGTGGTGACAGCAGATGAAATCCTACTCTGAACAGGAGTGAATCCAAAGCCCATCAGGTCTTCATCAAACATGGGTGCATCATCCATCCCGGCATCTTCATTGAAGGAAGAATTGGAAGAGCGTCTTCTAGGGGTGGACATTTGTGTATCTTGACCTTCGCCATATCCTTCGTTACCATCACTCAAGCTCTCGTCGTCGGCATAACGTTCGTCATTCACTTCGATGCCTTCTTCATCTGGTTCGGCACTGGCGTGTGGATCGGAATCGGTATCTGGATGAAAGGTGAATACTTCACAATCAGATATGCACATGATATCATCCAACACAGCACCTAATTGTGGATGATTGATGCCTCCTGATGCAGAGCCATGGCCATGCGTACGACCTCGAGCTGAAGGTTGAGTGCCAGTACGATTATCTTCATCGTATGAACTTGGAAACGAACTGAAAGAACGAGGAGCGTTGCTGTTACTTCGTAAACTCAAAAGTGTTGTACCAAGACTGTTGAGTACAAAATCAGGATTTGCTTCACGTCTGAAATCGGTAGGATCCACAGCGCTGAAATCGTGATCGGGAAATGCTCCGTTCAAAGTTGCAATGAGTAAGAATAACGTTTTACGTGCTTGGGCTTGATCAAGACGTCCGAACGGACTCGCAAGGGTTTCATCCAAATGTTTTGGCGGTGAAAGAGAAGCAGAATGTAAATATTGCGATTCAAGAGATTTGAATAGTTGTCTTTCCCTTTTCACAGCCTTGCAAGAATAAGCCTCTAAACGTGTAAAGACTTTGCATTCAGCCGATTCAAACGTCAAAGCGCGAGAAAGGCTTTCCAATTCAGGATAATCGAGATACTTCATAAAGATGTTATTGATGAATTTGTGGAAAGGTTTGAAATTTGATGTGATTCGAATCTATCTCAAAAACGCGTGGATTCGCGATTGAGATGATGATGAATCACAAAGTTGAAAGAGTTGTCAAGGGTAGAATACGCGTGGCTTGCGTACCCAAAAAGTGATTATTGTATCGATATGAACGAAATGATGATTGAGTTTGTGTATTCAATCAACCAAGATTGTAAAAGATGATGGTCATCACGGATTGTAATGGATGATAAGGTTTTGCGCGCGCGTCCTTTAATAGAGAATATAACCCTATGGGTGGTGCTATACATAGGTGGGGTGCAGACAGATTGCAGTGCCGCGCATTTTGCATGATCGACTACATAACAACAAGATTGAGCACACGTTCAATCATGCGGCTAAAGTGCATTCCAATGCATTATTTCACTCAATTGGCTGCCCGAATTCCGATCAGGGCTGAAAATTTAAACAGAGAGAGAAGATCTAAAATTTCAAGATAGCAACCAAACATCAATGATGAAGAGAAGCATATAATGACAATAATGCATTCAAGATTGATTGCATCTTGTCATTTGCTTGCTCGATCGAATTCACATCAACTTGGCCATCTTGCCATTCGTACAAATTATCACAGTAAGAGACACTACTCTGATAAATCTCAAAAAGTTAATTCACCTATCGGAACAGATCATCGAACTATTGGAACTGAACAAAAGTTATTCTTTACACATGAATCATCACCTGGAACACCATTTATGCTACCGCATGGGATGCGAATTGCAGGAAAAGTGGAAAGAGTCATTCGGGATTTATACCAAAGATGGTCATACGATGAAGTTTTAACACCCCAAGTTTTCAAAGCTGATCTGTGGAAACAGAGTGGACATTGGGATAATTATAGAGATGATATGTTTGGCGTTGAAGGTTTCAAAGAAATGCAAGAGCGTGCACAAGCATCCAATCATCATTCGGGAGGATGTTGTGGTGACGTGGCGCATACGTATGATGCAAGCCTTTCTGCTTCTGCCAAAAATGGAGAACAGGCAACAATGTACGGTCTCAAACCTATGAATTGTCCAGGTCACTGTTTATTATATGCTGCTCAAGAACATTCTTATCGAGATTTGCCAATTCGTTATGCGGAATTTTCACCACTTCATCGAAATGAAGCATCAGGTGCATTAACCGGATTGACAAGGGTAAGAAGGTTTCATCAAGATGATGCACACGTTTTTTGTCGAGTGGATCAAATATACGATGAAATTGCTTCAATGTTGGTCATGCTTCAAGACGCTTACTCTTTGTTCGGCTTTCCCAAGTTTGAGCTCGCACTTTCCACTAGACCTGAACAATTTTTAGGTGAATTGGAAGATTGGCAAAGAGCAGAAGATTCTTTGAGACATGCATTAGATGCAAGTTCTTTGCCGTGGACGTTAAACGAAGCCGATGGTGCCTTTTATGGACCAAAGATCGATATCCGACTTATCGATGCCGCCGGCAAGAAACATCAAACGGCTACGATTCAATTGGACTTTCAATTACCTCGCAGGTTTGATTTACGCTATATGACATCTGACGGGACTTCTTCTGCCAGACCAGTCATGATTCATCGTGCAATATTGGGCAGTATGGAAAGGTTTATGGCCATCTTGACGGAAAATCTAGCAGGTCGTTGGCCATTCTGGCTAAGTCCTCGTCAAGCTGTCATCTTGCCAACTTCGCCAAACGATCCGGAATTGCTTGCTTGTGCACATGCTGTTCGTGATCAACTAGCATTAGGTCTTACGCCCGGTAAGAAGTCAAACATTCGTCAACGTCACGATACAACTCTAACAGATGAACAGAGATTAGACATATTAAAAGCATACATTCCTTCAAGTCATCTAAGCAATGATGATCAGAAGGATAAAGCTGTGGCACAACTTTATGAAGCTGCAAAAGCTCGTGAACGAAGACAGCCCCATACATTCCACGTTGAGGTAGATGCTTCAATTGACAAATTGGGCAAACGTGTTCGAAGGGCGCATGTTGAGCAGGTAAACTTTACATGTGTGATCGGACCAGAGGAAATGCGAACAGGTAAGGTGCAAGTTCGTAGTCGTGATCAATATCAAGGTGATTCCACAGGTCGACCAGAATTACAACAGAATATGGGTACCTTTACCGTAGATGAATTACGACAATTATTCATCACTCTCGATGATCATCATTGGTAATGTAGAGTAATCTTTCAATCCATAGCAATTGTACTTATACCATCAAACATAAAATTAGAAAAGACGATTTATTAAAAAACAATTATGAAATAGGTAGAACGACAATTAAATGAAACGGAAAAGATTGTACAAGAAAAAAACTGTAAAAATACACCCAACCACTCTATTTGACCTTCTTTGCTGCTTGATGCTCTGGTCTATGATCTACTTCGAAATCGACATGAACGAATGCTCGTTCGCACATTGGTAATTGTTCAATTTTGTCTTGAAGATCTTGACTGACATTATGCGAGAGCCATAAAGGTGTTTCTGGTTTCATCACGATATCCACTTCAACGATATACTTTGGACCAGAATGATAAGCTTTAACGCTATCAATCATATCGATATGCGGATAATGAATATGCAAAGCATTATAAGTGCATAATTGCAAGAATTCAACAGGTGCTGCAACACCGCACAATTCACGAAATTGTTCGTATGCCGCTCTCGACCAACTGAAAATGATACCGAAACTGATGATCACTGCGCCTGTAGGGTCGATCCACCAAGCAATCTTTGCACCAGCAGCAGATGTGAAAATACCAAAACCGTTGATGAATAAATCGTTTCGACAATCCACCCAAAGCATATCCAATTGACTGCTATGCTTGCGGTACATATAGTTCAATACGCCCAAGGCTGCTTTTGTGAGGAAAGCGACTCCCACGGCAATAAGGGATGGATAGTAAAGTTTATTGATCTCGCCTGGTTTATGGGATCCAATATCCCTGGCCGATTCGACAATCAAAACGACGGAGACACATCCCATAATGGCCGCATAGACAATATTTCCTGCATTCTCCAATCTACTACCTCCAATTGGCCATTTACGTTCGTCAAGTCGATGCGATTTCCTGTGTAGCAGGTTCAAGATGATATTGGCAAACGGATCGAAAACGCTATCAGCTGCCGTTGCAAACAAGGAGAGGGATAATGACGAAATAGCAGCGTATAATTGCAAACCTGCCAAGACGAAATTGGCAACGATGTTGAGATAGATGAGAAAATTCACCATTCCATTGGCAGCTTCGGCCTCATCTTCATCCTCTTTGGCATGTTTAGCAATCGGTTTGAGTAAATTTTCGATCAACGTATTCTGCTTTTCGTAATAATTTCGGATCTTCTTTTCCGACTTTCTGCCCTTACTTGGTCTTCGACGAAGCTCTTGATCTGTATTGACCACTTTGCTACGCAACAACAAAGGATCACTTTCTTCGGAGGCCGGAGTGATGTAGCCCATTGCATATGCATCATTGATGGAAAATGTTCCTTCTGGTGAAAGATGTGGAATGATGTTGACCGGCGGAACTTTGGTTGTGTCCAAATGAAGAGGACTTGTTGCGCTATCGAGCCAAGCGTTTAATTTTTCTCCGTGTGATTTACCTTCTGCTCCTGGTCTGGTAGCTGCATTTGTCAAAGAGGCAGCTGCAGCAGAAAGAGCTGCTTCTGGCAAACGAACATCATCCATCTTTTGCTTTTGCTTCTCACGAGAACGAGGTGAAGTAGGCCAAATGCTTGACCTTTGCGAGGGAAGGTTGCTAGCGGCATGTTCTATATCCACTTGATCATCCTCTGTGAATGATAAAGGAGGTGAAACACCAGTTCTATGATGACTATGATCTTGTTCATTAGATTGAACAGAGCCACTTCTACTGCGTGTTTGATTGATTATGTGATCATTTGAGCCCGAAGGTTGATCATGTTGAACGTTAGCGTCCAAACGAGCAGAATTTATAGGATGTACCATTTTGTCGAATTTCAGTCGATAATTCGATGTGATGGATGAGGAGAATAAGTTTCTTTGTTAAATGTGATAAATGTTTTATACCTTTTACATTGAATTCTTCTCAACAAATCTGTATGTTATTTGCGCCCAATGAACGATCCTATCAAGCCGCGAAGCCGCGAATGATGTGCAAAGTGACGATTGGGAGAGGTGAAGTTGTGGGAATGCTGTGCAAAGGATGATCGTGGGGCTGGCTGGTTGGCTAGGTGCCACTCTTGGCCTTTTACCGGGGCATTTGTTACTTTTTATTCATTTAAAGCGGCCAATTGGGCGCGATAACTCAGCCATCGGGAATTCGTATTTACTAGCGTGCGCAATATTTAATCAAAAAAGATAAGCCTGCCATCGGTGATTAGGTAAGAATAATACAAAGAGAGACAAATAAAAGTACAAACGAAGGTATTCAAAAACCTCTTGGATTGGTTCGCATGGTTAGCCGGGTAAACTTTGGAACCTGAGAAAGAAGGATCGTCAATACAAACATCTGAAAGAAAAGAGAGATCATCGCTACTCACTTTATGAACACTCTTGCGGAAATCTTTTCCTTTTCTACTAAACGTGGTATATTTGTCCCTTGCTTCCATCTCTGCTTCAGTTGGTAAGAGTGATAATCTGTCCAAAGAATGACATTGAACGCCACTTGAACGAATTGTAGAAATAACTTCATCGACATTACGAAGACGTTCTCGTACCCTAAACTTTCGTGAGCTTGACATTCGCCATGGGTTTTTCCTAATTTGTATAAAAGAGTTGGAAAAAATGATTTAGATTTTGTTATCTTTCAATCCGCAATTGGCTCATACTTACCACAACAGACCGCCCATGGATATCGGCGAAGGTCTAAAAGCTCCAAACATCCTGAGTATACGTCTAGCTATGTGTAATAGCTTGAGTATGTTTGTGATCAATGGCGACGAAGGTTGAGATGATTCGGTTAAAAGAGAAGAAAAAGTTACTCTAGTAGCGCTGCGCATGTAAAAAGTGTTGCGAGATTATATAAGCGCACGCGTTTCAGAACAATTTTTTGAATGTATGCAGGAAGGAGTACTTGCCCTCAAGAAGAAATGTGACAACATATCCTTCAATCACTACATCACCATAGATTGGATCGCAAAGCAAGATGTCCAGCGACTCATCTTCAGATATTCTATCCGATAACGAAGAAGTGTCACAACAAAGTCCCAAAGACATTCCCGCTCGATCAAGGCACGGCGAAAAGAAGGCGTGAGTATGGAAGAGGTATGAATGAATATGGAGTTTGTATCTAACACATGTTCTCTCCTCAGCTTTAAGCCACCGTCAGGATACCAATCTGCAAGCTTCTCAGACGATTTACTTGAAACATTTGCCAATGATGCGGTTTCTAAGAAGTCCGGAAAGCAGGTATGGTGTATAAAATTACCGGATGGGGTATGTATGCAAGATGAGAATGGAAGATCATGAGGATGAAGGAATGTACTAATGCCACAATGCTCTTTTAACAGATATCCCCCGCTCAATTGGACGGATTGTCAATCGGCCTGCCATCAGAACAAGATCCAAACACACCTCTAGCCCACCTTGTAATCGAACGGGCGGGCAGAGGAGATTCAAATAAATCATACCAACAGAAGTATCTCTTACAAAACCGGAAAACAGCTTCAAAGCACGATCAAACCAAGCAACAAGATTCCAAAACACAACTGATCGCAATGGCTGGCGGAAATGCTGGCTTAGAAAAAGATGAAGATAATTCAAACGATAATCTTGCAAATGAGGAGATGGAATCCTTGCATGTTATGCTACCAAATCGAAAATCAGATGGGCAATATGTTCTTGCTCCGGTCAAAGTTAGTCAATACATGCAACTTGTGATTGAAACTCCTGTTCAATCTAACGATATGACAGGTTCAACTGACGCTGATCCCAAAAAGATTGCCAAAGATCTAAACACAAACAAACAAACAACCGCAATCAGTGCAGGTGCCAAAAGACAAAGGACACAACCATGGGACAAATTAAAGGGTTTCTTCAATCCAGCCGGTTCGCGTACATTAGACGAAGAAGTTGATGATAGCGACGAAAAGAAGGTCAAGAAGGCTAAGGTAGAGCAAAATCTTGAGACAGGCGCTTCCTCCTCTCCTAAGAAGAGCAAGAAGTCCAAAAAGAGCTCAACATAAACAAGATTCGTTCACTTCTCTCACACATTGTAACTTATATAGCAAGTATATCATTATGCATTTTTACAGCATTTCATCTCAAGGCGAGAAGCCCAGATCACGTTCAGCATCCCTCTGTTTTCTTTCTTTTTCAAGTCTTGCTTCCAACTTCGCAAATTCGGCCAATTGAACCTCTTCTTCGGGATCCAAAACTTGTTCGACTGACTTGACTTCTGGGATATAGTGCATCAGCATTCTCTCGATTCCAGATTTGAGCGTTACAGTACTAGAATCGCAACCACGACATGAACCCTTTAGCTTTAATTTGACGATTCCATCTGTATCTTCTCCGAAGCCGCGGTACTCGATATCACCACCATCTTCCTGAATCGCAGGTCTAACACGAGTTTCGAGAAGTTCTTTAATCATTGCAACAGTTTCCGAATCGGTATCCAAGATGACGGTATCAGAAGCACCTTGTTGACTGTTTGGATCTGGAAATAGTTCTTGTGCTGAAGAAAAGAATTCCATAATTGAAGCATAAATTTCAGGTTTCAAAAGGTTCCATTGAGAATCACTATCTTTTGACACTGTGACAAAATCTGGTCCATAAAATACACCTTTTACACCTTTGATTCCGAACAAGGTCTTTGCTAAAGGCGAAGTCATTGAAGAACGAGTATCAAGAAACTCTGCCGTTCCGTTTGACATGACCGATTGCCCTGGCAAAAATTTCAGTGAATCTTCATTAGGGGTTGATTCGGTCTGAATGAATATCGATCTCTTCTGCTGTGCTAAGTATGATGGCGATGGATTTTGAGCCAAATTCACTCTTGCATTAGCCGAAAGTATTGTCGATTGAGTCCGAACATCATGTCTGCTTGCCGAAGTGGTCAAATTGCGTGAAGAAGTAGAGTGTTGTGTGGCAATCGGATATGCTGACGAAAGAGGCATGCGAATTTGATGCAATGACTTGGAGGTTGATTGGACCAAACGCATCGACTGTGCGGATTGCTTGACGAACGACATAACTGAGAATGTTTATAACTTTGAAGCAAGTGATTGACCGGGAATGATGGTGTTCGAAAGAAGGTTATAGATCGCGTCCTCTTAAGAGCATATACTCCGGAGATAATTCATATTTTTTACCCGTGTCACATGCATCATCATGGGTCTTTTAGCGCATAAACGAAATCTTATCAAAGCTCAACTTACCTCCACGCATTCAACCTTTCTCTCTTCAACCATTCTATACAAAGATGTCTTATCGTCAAAGAATAGTTCCACTCTTACTCGTCACATTTGTAGGTGTTGCAAGTGGCGTTTACATCTTTGATCCTTTGATCAAGCAATATGCAATCGATTCACGAGGCACATATGATCCCAAAATTGCACAAGCAGGAGTTAAAGGTGGAATTGGAGGTGGATTAAACGATGAACCGAATAAGATCAGTCAAATAGAAGCAGATGCAAAAGCAGCGACTAAATCATCCTCAACGGCAACGTCGAATAAATCCAACGTCATCAGTGGAGAACAAGCGAGGAAACATTTGCAAGAAGCACTTCAGTCTAATTTGAAGGATTCCAAGAAAGAATAATTATTCGACTTGTTAATCTATCTGTACTCTAGGGCACCTTTGGCATTATCCTGTAATATCATCCTTACATCAATATCATATTCGTGATTGAGTAAGCAAAAGAGACAAAAAAAGATTGCACTGAGAACAGCGTGATCTGCCAACACTGAGATTCGAACTCAGGATACCTGACGGTATGGGAATTAAAACTTCTATCGCAGCTCTGATGAACTGCCCGAAGTGTAGTGTCCTGAGGCTTAAACCCCACGCGATGACCAACTACGCGATGTTGGCACACCACTAGCCGCTGAACTACGCATGCGTTTTGTGCTACCGTGCGAGATTGGATAATATCTACGGGGGCGCGATACAACGTTCGTTTCAACGATATCAAATTGACGTTCGAGAGAGGTATCACATTAGAACGAATTGATAGATGTATCACAGCAGAAAGGAACATCAGAGGTATCACATCAAGAAAAGTTAGCAGAGGTATTATACCAGAAAGGATCGTCAGATGTACTATATCAGAAAGCACCTTCAGAGATATCGTATCAGAGAAAGGATCGGCAGAGGTATCCTTTTAAAAAGAGAGTTCTTCGAGCAGGTATACAGCCTCGGGCACAAGATCTGATACTGGGTATCGTCAACGGAAAAAAGGAGTTGCAACTCAACGACTTTGAATCACTTAAATCTGACAAAATGAAAAAGTACCCTTCGGTGATGATGACTTATATTCATCACCCATTCAAAGATGGTGTAACCAATGAGAGTTCTAAGACGATTGATGCGGCGTATATTTCCTATTCGAAGATCAAATGCCGGGCAGTAGGATCTCATCTCCGCGCATACGTTAAATATGAAAAGGGAATAAATGGTAGTGCAAGCAAATACCTTAGAACTCGGGCAGGTTTCGACCTGAAAGATGATTTTCAAAGCAACGAACAAGATCATACAAACGATTCTGAGAAAGGGAAACAAAAATCACCGGACAAGATTCCGGAGAATCCGTATCTGTGTGTTCAGCTTTGGACATTATATGAACGCATAGAAAAGTGGACATTTTTCGATATGCAGACGATGCAAAGAGACGTTTCAAAACAATTTAAAGAAGATCCTGAAAAGTTCAAGCTGGGATTCTGCAAGATCATTACATGTGTATTTAAGATTGTTTGTTGGACATTTCAGGGTGACAAAGATTTGAACGAGCATCAGGAATGATCGGGGGATATATCTTATCAGAAAGGGTCAGGACATATAACCTATCAGGAAAGATGGAGAGATATATCCTATCAAAAAGGATCGTGAGATATATCCCATCAGAAAGGAGCCGCAAAGGTATTACATCAGAAAGAATCGTCAGAGGTATTCCATCAGAAAGGACTGAGAGAGGTGTCACATCAGAAAGGATCGGTGAAGGTATCATATCAGGACAGATCGTCAGAGGTACTATATCATAAAGGATCGTCAGAAGTATTATATCAGAAAGGATTAGTAGAGGTGTTATATTAGATAGGAACGCCAGAGGTATTATGTCAGGAAAGATTGATAGAGATACCTCATCAGAAAGGATCGTTAGAGGTATCATATCAGAAAGGATCAGGGGAGAAGTATTATATCAGAAAGAGCCGTCAGAGGTATTATATTAGGAAAGAGTGGTAGAGGTAATACATTAGAAAGGATGAGCAGAGGTATCGTATCGGAAGGGATCCGTAGAGGTATCCTATGAGGAAGGAAAGGTAGAGGTACCGCATCAGAAAGGATCGGTAGAATTAAAACACCAGAAGGGATTGGTAAAGGTATCACGTCGGTGAGGACCGTCGGAGGTACCACATCAGAAAGGAAGGATAGATTTATCACAACAGGAAGGTTCATCATCAGAGGTATCACAACTTTCAATATGATACGATTGATTATAGATGGTATGTGCGGTACTATACAATTGTGTTTGAGATAAAAGTGCTTAAACTGACATCATATCATCATCGTCTTCGTCCACAGGTTCGTCGAGCATCTCTCCTCTTGCTTTTCCGCTGTTCAATTCACGTCGTACTTCCGGACTGATTCCTTCATGCCATTGAACTCGTAAAAGATCGACCAAAGCTGCTTTTTGATCGGGAGTGAGATCTTGCTTGTACCTTTGACTGAAGACCAACAAACTTTGATGCCATAAAACCGGCATCCTTCTACCACCTCCTTCCACTCTTTCGACGCCCATTGTTGGATCGGAAAAACGCAAGAAATGGAAAACAAGAGCATCAACAACTTTGTAGGGTAAAGCATACTTTTTATCCAATAAGACTCGAATGAATAATGAAGTCGGTCCAGCATAATGCATCTCTGCTAATCGTAATAAAGCAGCAGCAGAATGCAAGATTGGAATAGAGACCCTTGTTAAAACACTGGAAATGATTGCAGCCTCTTTGAGCGTACACCCTGTCTCGCATAATGGAAAGAGTACTCCCTTGAAAAAGGCTGCAGGTTTGAACAATGCCTTTTTGATCGCTTCATACATTTGATAACTTGCTTTTCCTGTTTCTGCAATCTCATCTCGTATCTTATCCAATAATACCAGCTCAAAGAACTTCTGTGTCTGATTTGCTTTCAAATTTGAAACGAATATTCTTGTTGCTGCCAAAGTAGCATGTGGTGTCCATGTAGGAGGATTGGTGATATAGAGAATATTCTCCCAAGCAGGCAGAGAGGGAATAATTTTAAACGCTTTGGGTAAAGGGCCTGACTTGTATCGCGACAGAAGCTCACCCACTTTGGTATACACTTCGATCACTTTTGGATTAATACCGGGTGGCATGGGCATATCGCCACCTTCGGCTCCTCTTGCTGCTTTTTCGTGTATTCCGCCCTGTGCATTTTGCCTTTCAGCTGCTTCAATCTTTTCCATGATCAAATCTGCCAAAGTCTTGTTACCTCCTGCAGGTGCACCGGGTCTTCCGGTTTCGTCATCGTTCTCTGCAAATTTGTCTATCCATTTGGCATCTTCTGGATCAATTTCTAGTTCTTCATATGCTTCTTCGCCTTGTTCTCCCTCATCTCCCATGTTTGAATCTAGCTCTCCATCATCTTCCTCTCCTTCATCATCTTCTTCGTCTGAATCATCAAGAGTGATTTTTGATTGAATTCTGAAATCTGTTTTGCCATTTGCTTCGGCTTCTGTTAATCCAGCTTGTGCTTCTTCTGCTTCGATCTCTTGTTGTTGTTCTCTTGCCAATCTTAAGATATTTCTGCTCAATTTTGGATCGATGAATTGACCTGCTTTAGCACCCGTTATCCTTAGAGAAGGTTCATCTGCGGTTTCTATTCCATCTGTTTGTCTAACTTCTTTTTGTTTATTCCTTCTACCTGGCTCAGAAACCGTACCAAATTTTGATGTTAATTCATCGGCTTGCATTTGCGCACCAAGAGGATCATGTCTGAGGCCATTATTGTTACCCCTTCCAGATCTGCTTGCTTTCTTTCCTTTGGTTGAAGAAGGAGCTCTAGGCATGATGAATTGTTTTGCTCAGTCTGATGGATGATGGCAATGAAAACTTTAAAAGTGAAAAACTTTGACAGGTGATATGCCAATTCGGGAAAAAAAACAAGAAGATTGTACGACAAGGTAGTGCATGCATAAATTTGAGGAAAAAATTAGAGAGATTATATAAGCAATCGCAAAGTTTCGGCCGAAAAGCAAGTTACAAAGCGCGTTAGCCTGGAGTTGCCGAAGAGGGGATATTCATTAAACCATAAAGGGGGATAGAGTGAATCGAAAAGTGGAGAAATACGAGAAGAAGAACAAAGGCTGTGTTGTGTGCAAAGCGGGAGTGCGTAATCAATTCGGCATTTCACATGTTGCTAAGAAAGAGTGATGAAGTGCAGTGATGATGCATAAGAATCATCTTTTTAGAACAAGCCGTGCCTGTGCAATTGTGTTCCCGTTGACTTTCCTTTCCTGCTTCTAAAGTCCTCTCATGCACCCGTCATTTTATTGAATCGAAAAAGAAGCATTTCATTCACGGTTTATACTTCCGTAAAGAGGATTCGATCTTGATACTGAAATCATGCAGGATTCCATTTCATTATCCATGAGATTCAATCTCCACCCATAATGGAAAGTTTGCATAAAGACATCAAAAGGATTCATTCCAATCCTTTCACCACCACCTCTTCATCCTATTGTCTTTAACATTCAATATGAAAGCCATCCTAACCCTTCTCGGTGCGGCCGCAACGGCTAATGCAATCGTTTTGCCACAAGACAGTCACTTTAATTCTTATCATCAATTCGGAGCTGGACTCTCTCCTCGTGCTTTGGATAGTGAAGGTGGAAGTATTAAACTTGAAATGTTTCACAATTCAAAGCGTGATTTCAATAATCCAGATGAAACTTTTGCATTCGCTAAAGGTCAAATGGATTACGTTCAAGCAAAATGGGGAAAAACAGAAGAGGCAAAAGAGAAACGTAATCAAATTCTCCAAAAACGTCAAATTATCGGATTATCAGATTATGGTCAAGATAATTTCTACTTTGCCCAAGTCAGTGTAGGAACGCCAAAGCAAAATTTTGACGTAATCCTTGATACGGGTAGTGCTGATTTCTGGTTGGTGGATACGGATTGTACAAGTTCACAATGCGATGGATCTGCATTGTTCAACCCTAGCGCATCCAGCACTTATCATGCATCCAGCAATCCATTCCAAATCACTTATGGTACAGGAGCAGTAAAAGGTACATTGTCTGCTGATACCGTTTCTTTGGCAGGATACACTGTCGATAATCAAACATTTGCAGTCGCCACTCAATTAGCACCTCAAAGTTTACAAGCACCAACTTCAGGTATTATGGGAATGGGTTTCCAAGCACTTGCACAATCACGAGCAACGCCTTTTTGGGAAGTTTTGGTACAACAAAACAAGCTCAAGACAAACGCATTCACTTTCCAATTAGCACGTAACTCAAGAACAGCAACTTCAAATTCTCAAATCTCTCCCGGAGGTGTTTTCACATTGGGTGAAATTGATCAAAGTCAATATTCGGGTAATATCAATTACGTCGACCTTTCTAATCAAGAAGGTTATTGGACCGTTCCATTACAAGCTCTTAGCGTTGATGGTCAAAATGGAAACATTAACGGAGACGGTACTTCTGCTATTGATACCGGTACAACATTGATCATTGCACCTCCAAGTGTTGCCGAACAAATTTATGAACAAGTTCCAGGCGCAAATCCTGTTAGCAGTGGCTTTGGCTCAAGCAGTCAGGGAATGTATTCAATCCCTTGTTCGTCAAGTGTTAACATCTCTTTAACCTTTGGCGGTCAACAATATTCCATCAATCCTGCTGATATGAATGCAGGTGCACTTGATTCAAGTGGACAAAATTGTTTAGGTGGCATTTTGGGATCCGATCTTGGAAGTGGAGCACCTAATTTCATTGTTGGAGATGTTTTCCTCAAGAACGTCTTTAGTGTTTATCAATATTCTCCTGCTGCCGTCGGTTTTGCCGCATTGAAAGGACAAGCAGCACAAACTGCTTCAACCACTTCGGGAGCGGTTAAAATTGGATCAAACACAGCCGCTGCAGCAAGTGCATCTTCATCTTCTGGTGGTAGTGGTGGTGGTCTTCCTCCTTTGTTCAGTTCAATTCTTTCTGGTTCAGGTAGTGGTTCATCATTGGCTGCAGGTTCAGGTTTGCCTTCTCCAAGTGCGGCTGCCAGTGTTTCAGCTTCTTCACCTTCTCTTACACCCGCAAACGGAGCTGATTCGAATAATTCAGGTTCTCTGCAAAGTTCCGGTACGAAAACTATTGTTACCAATCAAGTTGTTGGACTGATGACGATGTTCTTTGCTTTGATTTGTGGAATGGCTATTGCTTTCTAATCAAGATCCAAGTCATCATATATCCGATTGGATAATAAGTTTCCCTCTCTCTTTTCATCGTCATGTATCTGCTCTCTCAATGTTTGCTTTTTGCTTCTTCATCATTTCAATGCATATATAATTTCTCATTTTCATAATCACCTTACCATGCTGCATTTATTCTTCTAACTCTCTTTGTTTGTCATGCGCTACTTGCTTGAACCGCGTCAACGCGAAAGAGTGTGCCTGTGCGGCAAGAAGAAAGAAGAGAAAAAAAAAGAGTCACACTGCAGGAAAGGAAAGAAAACTCAAGACTGTTTATCTGCATTTGGAAATGCACTAAGATAAGAAGAACTAAATTATAACTCTCTCCTTCTCACTTTATACCATCACATTTACACACTTTTACAACATGGCAAAAGGAAGCGTTTTATTAGCTTATTCTGGCGGTTTAGATACATCATGTATTATGGCATGGTTGATCGATGAAGGTTACGACGTAATCGGATTCATGGCTGATGTCGGTCAAGAAGAAGATTTTGATGCTGCTCGTGAAAAGGCAATGAAATGCGGTGCAAAAGGTTTCATTTTGGAAGATATGCGAAGAGAATTTATCGAAGAACTCATCTTCCCTGCCGTTCAAGCTAATGCAGTTTATGAAGATGTTTACCTTTTAGGTACTTCCCTTGCCCGTCCAGTTATCGCACGTGGAATGATGGCCGCCGCTGCAAAGAATGGATGCGAATACGTTTCACACGGATGCACAGGAAAAGGTAACGATCAAGTTCGTTTCGAATTGGCTTTCTACGGTTTAAAGCCTGATATCAAGGTTATTGCTCCTTGGCGTATTCCTGAATTCTACAACCGATTTGCCGGTAGAACTGCATTGTTGGATTACGCTGCTTCAAAAGGCATTCCAGTCGTTCAAACAAAGTCTAAGCCATGGTCAACTGACGAAAACGCTGCTCATATTAGTTATGAAGCTGGTATTCTAGAAGATCCCGATCAAACTCCACCATCTGAAATGTGGAAATTAACAACCGATCCAAGAAAGGCACCCGATACACCCGAAGAAATTTCCATCGAATTCACAAAAGGTTTACCTACCAAAGCAACTATTGGCGGTAAAACCTACACAGATGCCGTTGAACTTTTCTTGGCTGTGAACGAAGTTGGTCGAAAACACGGGGTTGGCAGAATTGATATCGTGGAAAATCGTTTGATCGGATTAAAGTCTCGTGGATGTTACGAAGCATCTGGTCATCATATCTTACGTGCTGCTCACATTGGATTAGAAGGTTTGACAATGGACAGAGAAGTTCGTCGTGTTCGGGACGATTTAGCAAAGCGTTATTCAGAATTGTTGTATTACGGCTACTTCTACAGTCCAGAATGCAACTACGTTCGTGCTTGCATCATCCCATCCCAAGTCACCGTTAATGGAAAAGTTCGTCTTTCGCTTTACAAGGGTAACGCAATGATCATCGGTCGTTCCTCCCCAGAGACTTTGTACAGTGCTGAGTTGGCCAGTATGGACACCGTTGAAGGATTCAGTCCAGAGGCAACGAGCGGATTCATCGAAACAAGTGCTATTCGTATCAAGAGTTACGGGTTATCCCAAACACAAAAGGGTTTGGGAGGTGTTGACCGTAAAGAAGCATATGCTCTCAACAAGTAAGCTCTTTCGTTGATTCATCTCGCATTAAACTCTCCAAAAATTGTTTTATATTCTCTGATATAGTTTAGCGATACAATAAAGTTTTTCATCCTATAATGCGTCTATGAAGATTCTGCAATGGCTTCCTTGCTCATAGGACTGGGCTCGGTCGCACTTGTACTTTGCTTTTCTGAGGTATTTCGAGGGGGTACTGGCGCATTATGTAGGGTATCTTGTGCTTTCTGAGCATCTTGTTCTGCGATTCGGTCCTTCTTTTCAGTTTCAACTTCTTTCTGTAAGGCTAGCAATTCAGCTTCCATTTCAGCTTCATCGGGTTCTTCCACTCCGCTTGCTTGTCGCATGCCTTGCGCTCCAAGATCGATTGCTTGTCTAACTTCATCTGCACTCGCCAGTGTTTCTTGCATTTCATCCATATTTGCATCAATACGATCAGGTTGCAAGCGTGCATCGCCCAATAACGTTTTAAGAGATGCAGTAGACGTTTCATAAGCTTTCATGATTTCTACATCACTTGCCGCTTGTTCTATCTTTACCAAAATGCCATGTAGAGTTTCCAATGTGCCAACTCGTTTCTCCAACAAAGCTTCTAGGGTCTTTTTGGATCGTAGATAGGATAATGCTTGTGACTTGCTATTCTCTTTCAAACATTTTTCCACTTTGCTTTGCCGCTCTTTGATACGCTTCTCAATCTCTTCAATCTGCTTTTCTACTTTTGCATGTGTATCGCGTACATCCATGATTCCTTTCTCATGTTCGGTGATCTTTGATTCGGGTTCAATCGATCCATGTTCAAGCTCCAATTTGATCACCTCTTTATCCACAAGTGCTACTTTTCGATCCCGTGCTAGATATTTCAGCAACACCTCCAAATCACTTTCCGATAGACTAGACTTTGCAGTTGATGAATCGGGAAGCGTTGCTGCAATGGCAGGTTTGACAACTTCTTCAACAAACGTTCTTCGTGAGAACAAGCAATCCAAAGCAGATATTCGTGGAGATGAACGATGGGCTGCCAGAACAGCTTCTGCGACTCTTTCAACATTCTCAAGCACAACCCAATTTCCTTTAGACTTTTCCCAATCTTCATCACTAGCGTCACTTGATGATTCTCCGAAGCCTAAGCTTAGCGATAATTGAGAGATTGCCCATGTTAGAGGAGCCATAGCAAGCGATGCAGCACGAGAAGATAAAGCTGTTGATTTTTGCAAATGGTGGCCCAATGATGGTCTCTTGAAACGTGCACGTGAAGATAAGAATTGTTTCATTTCAATAACTTCTTTCCTCTGCTGTAATTCCATGATCACAGTTCCCAATCCTAAAGGACGACCAACGTCGTCCAAACTTAGGTCATCTAATAATGCTTGATTCACATGTAGAATGAGTCTGTCGGCTGTTGAAGTCTCTGGCTCTTTGCCTTTGGCTGTTTGAGAGGATACTTTCTGATTGTCAAGAACACCTGCAAGACATGCAGAGCTCAACAATTCCCTCCACCATTCCAGACTTGCCTCGTAAGATGCTTTGTTCGATGATCGATGGGCGGCTAGATCGGCATACAAAGCTGGCAAGCTAGAACTTGCCGAGGAAGGATCCTGAAAATCCGGTCTAGCCTTAAGCCATTCAGAAAGATGTTGTGACTTGGCGTCCATCTTTATGAAGAAGAAGAAGAAGATGATGATGATGATGGATGAAGGTGTTGATGTGGAACAAAGAACACTAAGGCGCAGCGCGTACATAGAAGAAGGTGCGGGCGTTCGGTAAGATTGCCCTGCATAAACAAAGCATTTGCATACACACACAGATAGCATACAACATATGGCAGGGAGATCAGAATCAAATATGCAGTGACAGACGGATGTTGTGGAAGTGCAACGTTCCCTTTAGATAGGATACGTCTAACGGTCCTTCTGGATTAGATACATCTGACAATTTTCTCTACTGGGGTACATCTGACTTTCCTTTCTACTGAGATACCTCTGATATACCTTTCTGATGTGATACCTCTCCCGATCCTTTATGACATGATACTTCTACCGACACTCTCTGATGCGGTACCTCTGCCAATAGTTTCTGATGTGTTACCTCTATCGACCTTCTCTGATGCGGTACCTCCAACGATCCTTTCTATTGTGATATCTCTAGCCATCATTTCTTCTGGGACAATGATGTTATATAATCAGAATAGACTGAGCTTGTACGCAGTAGTCAGTCTGGATCAAATCGTTGGCTGCTGGGTTATATAACTCTTCTTTTGTCTTACGCTTGTACGCCGAATTAGCGTGACTTTTCATGCAGAAAGAATGTCAAAAAAGAGTTGTTTGCCTGACTCCTTCTTTCATCATCAATATTGATGATGATACGATATCCGATCATTCCAGGATCTTGTCAAAAGCTCCAGTCAATTCTAGTACGGACGACTTCTTCCAAATTTATCAAGCCGAGAGCCGTTCATCCGATCAAGTTAACATCATTCCACACGTCGTCATGTTCATTCTCCCAAGGATTGGCCAAAGATGATTTATTTTCCCAACCAACGGCCAAAGATGTTGGACCTTCCATATTGGCAACCTATTCAGCACCACTGAGCAAAACTTTTGTCCGATTAAAAATCTTTTCCCTAAGTTCGTTGGCAGCAGCAATTACATTGACACCGGCTCTTTTGCTTGCTCCTGCTGAGATTGGTTGGTCAGGTCGAATTGGACTTTGCATAACAGCATTGGCTACAAGCGGTGCAAGTACAGCAATATTTGCTTGGATAGGCAAACCGTACGTTGGATCAATGCGACTTCTATCACCGAGTATTGCAAATCAATCCTTACAGAAAGACTGCAAAGAGATGATTGGCAAAACGAGCAATCAAACATCTTTATTGAACGGCATAGATCTGTCCATTTCCAAACCTGCCTTACAAACGATAACAATCGATTGGCGATTGCGCAAATTGCAAACCACAATTTATGAGCCTGATCTTATCCGACCAACATCTAGACCTTTGGCCACGTGGGAATTGGCGAGTAAAGCACCGATTCCACAAGATATAGATGAGAATTGTCCATTTCCGATTACAAGACTTGTCGCTTCTACTCGGATGGAAAAGAATGATGAATTAGTTGGCAGATATTGGGCAACTTGGCAAGCACCCAAACTTGCCGGAGATTGTACGCAAGAAGGAAACATCATCCGTCATTATAGCATTCACGAAGAACTTCTAGGTGATGATTGGAGAGTTTTGTGATATTGTGTATTTTCCGAAAGGAGGGTGTCATATTTGTACAGAAGTAATGAAATACCTCAACAACATCTTTTTTTGCATTGTGATCGTTTGTCTGTTGGCATTTAAGAGCCGAAAAATGTGCGAAGATCTTACGCGCGGAGCATTCTTCCTTTTTCTTTTCTTGCGCCCGGAGCCTTTGAACGAAAAGTGCATATATTGTGCTTATTATATGGAAAGACTTTTTCTTGTTCCATACACTTGTCCTTCTCATCGATAATTTGAGGAGGCATTACCAATCGTTTGGCACTTCCAGATCTGTTGGTGGAAATTAATATCAGAAAAGATACTTGAATCACCAAGAAACGTATATCATTCTTATCAATTTTGACTGCTCGGCGACTATTTTTGTATCACGAAAATCTTCCAGACGCGAATGTGAACAAATACATCAAGATGGTAATCAATTCTCCTTCAAGCATCCTTAATCATCCATCTAGCCCTAGCAGGTCATCCGTACACCATTCAAGTCCTCCAAAACCGTTGGCAACTGCAACTGATCTGCCTATCCGAACGGCATGTAACTTTTGTCGGTCAAAAAAGATCAAATGTGATAAAACTGCAATCGAAGATGGTGGTTGTGCAAGGTGTAAACGTGAAGAAATAATGTGTTGTTACGATGTCAGAGATCCGATAGGGAGACCGAAAAAACGCAGAATGACCGGAGATGCATCGCCTGTGCAAAGTTCATCTTCTACGATTCATCAATCTCCTCAACAGGCACGTATCACTCCGAAAGGTTTAACAAGCAATACCATCTCTTTCAATCCTGAACGATCGTATGCGGAAGCAGGAATGTATCAACCACAAAGTAATGGATCACTATCTAGCTTGACGAATAAATTTAGTCCCATCAATGCCTCATATTCATCAGCCATTGCATCCTCCTCTCAATGGCCTAATTTGCCTCCTTTGAATGCCGTTCCACCAAAGTACAACAACATTTACAACGTCGGAAAGCCTCAAAATGCTCAATTGCGTAACAATTATGCGGCTCAACCCACTTCGCAATCCTTGTCACCTTCCAATCAATCTGTCGCTACCTCTTCGCATGGAATGACGCCTTCCTCCTCTACGACTACGTTTGAAACAATAAGGCCTTCGAGTATTGATGATGCACCAAATTTGTCAGACCTGGGATTAGCAGCATTTTTGGAAAGTTTGGACACCTTGGAAATCAATACGGAAGATGGGTTAACAGCAGCAATGCTAGAAGCTTTGGCAGCAAGTTCATTGAAAGAAGATGTTACGCACGCTCAAATTCATCAACAAAGCTTTTTGCCCAGTCTTTCGTCTTCCGTTAATTCGATTCAAAACACGGCAAATTTGCAAGGTAGCACATCTTATGCCGTTCCAGCCGATCTTTCGTGGGCCGATTCTTCTTGGTTAGACCAAATCAGCGCTCAATCAGCATCCTCTTTGGACAAGATGAATAAGCAAAAAGCGGCCGAACCATTTACTGACGAGCGTCATGAAATTTCATCAACATCCATGAACCGAAAGAGAGACGAACAAGAAAGGAGCATGCAAACAGTCTTCGAGCCTGAAAAGAGCACCTCTTGTTGTTGCGGAAAGGATGATGCAAATGTAACACAAGCAACACCACAATCGCATGTACAACAGCGCACTTTACCTTCCGAAAACTCATCAACTAGAGTTCATTGTGTTCCCGATCCCACCGGAAAAGGATGTACATGTTTATGCGACGTGAGTGTAGCTTTGATCAATGTGCGAGCCACTTTACGTCAAACAAGAGAAGACCAATGTGCCGATAACCCTTTACCGATCAAGGATGATAATAAAAGGGCAGCTTCCACTTTGCAATTAACTTTATCCGCTTCACAAGCTGTTGCCGCCCAATGTGCTTGTAGTGCTTCTTGTCCAACGTGCAGAACTGATCCTAGCACTTCATTAAGCGCTTCACTCTTGGTCTCGACCGCTTTGCAAATCTATATACGAGCCGTTAGAACACTTCGACAAGGTTTCGGTGCAGGTGATTCCCGCTCGAACTTCACTGAAAGCATCGGCGGAGCGGAGAATGGAGGTCATATACATGCAACAGGAAGCGAATGGGATGTGAGCATAGGTCAGTACAAGCCAAAAGCGACAAACGCTCGTCGGATCGCCCTCTTTGCTATGAAACTGGAACTTCGTGATTTACGCGATGCGATCGCAAAAGTTAGTCGTGCTGCTAGTAGAACTGGATCTGTGACTACAAACGAAAAAGAATCCTCAAAGATAAAAAGCTGCTGTTCAGACAATTTGGAATCCAATCAGAATGAACTCGCTCAATTTGTTCAATCATCTTCTGTAGAAGCAGGTATCAATCCTGTAGATCAAGTTGTCATTCGTAAATTGCATCAACAATTGGGCGATCTTCTACGTACGGTGGAAGGTATTGAGGAACAGCAAGATGCCGAAAGGAACGCTTTAAGTGCTGGAAATGACTTGATGTATTCATAAATCAATCTTGTAATCTTATTCGCTTTATTTACCTACATTCATCTCAAAATCGGGAGGCGTGATTGCTGTATAGTCATTTTTGTCGATGAGTCAAGTAGTATTTCGTCAATCCGCTCGTGGACGAATCATGACCAGCGCCGTCCACTTTTGAGACATCTCCACCTTGCAAAAGGGGTAAAATCTTCTTTGCGAGAACTTTACCTAGTTCGACTCCCATTTGGTCGAATGAGTTGATTCCCCAAATGAAACCTTGCGTTGCGATCTTGTGCTCATACATTGCGATCAAGGCTCCCAAAACTGCAGGTGTCAATTTGGGGAACATGATTGAATTTGTTGGGCGATTTCCCTCAAAGATCTTCGACTTGACCAAGAATGAATTTTGTTGATCTTGTGCACTTAATTCTTTCTTAACTTCTTCCTCTGATTTACCGAATGCCAAAGCTTCGGGTTGAGCGAGGAAGTTTGAGATCAAGATGTCATGATGTGGGCCCAACGGGTTATGGGATTGGGCAGGTGCCAAGAAATCGCACGGGATGAGGCGGGTGCCTTGATGAATTTCTTGGTAGAATGCGTGTTGACCGTTCGTTCCAGCTTGACCAGCAATGATCGGACCGGTTTCGTAATTGACACGTTCCCCATCTTTGGTAATGGTCTTCCCGTTCGATTCCATATCCCCTTGCTGGAAATAATCGGCAAATCTGCACATGTATTGATCATAAGGCAATAGCATGTGTGCTTGGCAACCGTGAAAGTCGGTATACCAAATACCGAACAAAGCCAACAAAACGGGAATGTTCTTGTCTAGGGGTGTGTTCTTGTAATGCAAATCCATTTCATGAGCTCCCAATAAGAGTTGTTCAAAGTTGTTGTAACCAATAACCAAACAAATGGACAAGCCGATTGCGCTCCACAGTGAATAACGACCGCCTACCCAATCCCAAAATTTAAACATGTTCGCCTTATCGATACCGAATTCGGTGGCCGCTTTCACGTTGGTGGAAAGGGCGACAAAATGTTTGGCGACATGAGCTTTGTCACCGGCACTTTTAAGGAACCAGTCTCGTGCAGTTGTTGCGTTCGTGATGGTTTCTTGAGTAGTAAAGGTTTTCGAAGCGACGATGAAAAGAGTTGTTTCAGGATTGCTTGCACGCAATGCTTCGGCCATGTGTGTTCCATCGATGTTGGATACGAAATGAGCGGTCAAATCACGTTTTGCATATGGTTTCAAGGCTTCGCAAACCATGACGGGACCCAAATCCGATCCACCAATTCCGATATTTACGATGGTATCAATCTGTTTGCCCGTGTAGCCCTTCCATTGACCATTACGAACTTGTTCGCTGAATTGCTTCATATGCTCCAATTCGCCTTTGACTTCATCTACTCCTTCTACTGGAGGATTGAAATCTTGTGGTAAGTCACGCAATGCGATGTGTAAAACAGATCTGCCTTCTGATGAATTGATCGGCTTGCCGGCAAACATGTCATCGCGTTGTTGTTCAACTTTTGCTTCTTTGGCTAAGGATAATAATTTTTTATAGATCTCATCATCGATCAAATTCTTACTGAAATCAGTCAAGAAGGACGCATCAGTTTTTGAAGAATTGAACGAACGTGAATACGTTTCGAATCGCTTTGGATCATCTTTGAAGGCTTTAGTCAGATTGATCTGTTTGCCTTTGCTGGCATACAATTGTTCCAATTCTTTCCATGCTTGCAATGAACTAGCAAGAGGATGTTGTGACATTTTGTAAATCTTTGCTGGATCTTGAAAAGATGAGAAGTTTAAAAGGATACGTAGTGATGGTATGAAGAAGAAGAAAGGTTTTTATGCAACTGTATTGGTCAGAGAATGCCGAAATTCAGGATAAGGACAAGGGAAGTTTTGATTCGGGCGCATCTTCCGTTCAATTTTGCCAAATTCGCACGGTCCTTTATTCGCCTCTATAAGCCCAGCCCAGCCCAGCGCATACAGGCAGTAAGGGTGGGTGGGTGGAGGACAACAAACAAGTGCAAATGTACAAACGCGACACGTGACAATATGTTAAAAATTGCATTTGCATCTTTTTTTTGGGAAGGGATATAAGCATTTCCTTGACTCCTCGATCTTCGCTCTTCTTTCGATGCCAAAGGAAAGCTAATTTCTCTTCTTTCAACAAACAAAGACTTGATGTCACATTAATAGACTTACTTCATGGCTCAAGAAGTCAAGGAGAATGACACAATCATTGGCTCCCAGTCATCGGTCAAAAAGCTCAACAGATGGGAAGCAACAATTCAAGAAGAAGAATTGATTCAAGCCGCAGCAATGCCCCTCGATGAAGTGCCGAGTTGTATGAATTGTTTCGATAAATGGGCTGCATGTTTTGGTGAGCGATGAATTATTTCTTAGCCTGATCTTTGACAGTTTGACTTACTGATATTCTTCTGTCGATCTCATGATTTTTATAGCACTGGGTCCACAAATCCGACACGTCTATCGTTATGGATCGATCAACAAGTGTCAAGGAAAGATGGAAGATTTCAAATACTGTTTGACGCTTAAAGGTTTAACCCAAGAAGAATTTCGTGCAAAGTGGATTCGCAAAAGAGCAGAAGATTCTGCTAGCAAACGATTGGAAAAGAGTAGCGAAGACGTTTGGGAATTACGCAAAGATCCCATCGTAGATCCTGAATACGATGACCAATATGTGAAATCACAATGAGAACGTCAACATAAGGTGAGTTTCAATTTTTCGTTCCCTTTTTATGATTATTCTCAATTTTCAGTTCTGCTACCGAAAAGGAAGTTTTTCGCTTCTTTGTGGATAACCCTTACCAAGCTTACCATTGTATGACTTGATTATACTTTGAGCCTTTTTCTCGAAGAGAAATCACTGACAATTCATTCTTTTCGTCTCTCGAAAGCAGGCATGTATAACTTCCTCTGATTTGGGTACGTATACGATTCGACTCAAACACTTCCATGATGACAACTAGTTTATCCATTCTAGGAGGGCTACGTTGCATCGCCACGTTGTCTTCAAAAAGGGCTTTGTCGCTTGTTTGTGCTATCCGAAAGGAAGCAGTATCCACTTCAAGTGGCTTGATTGCTGATCGGATGACATGACAAGCGGTGACTACATTCGATCAGGCTTTGCATCCTTTCGAAGGCCGACGATTAGTCTTTCTTTTCAAGTGACCTCTTGTAACGGATTACCTGTTGTTCGACCACAGTGAAACGGGCGAGATTGTCCCTAGAAGAAGAAAGGTGAAAGTCGTCTTGAAGGATATGCAAATACGCTAATTTTGGATGTAGTAGGTCTGGATGACGTGCACAACGGATTGCCCAATGAATTTTTAATCTTCTCACTGATCGATTCCATCGGACAACGATCATCGTAACAATAATACTGATAGTGCCTCATTCTTTCCTTCCACTAGAATGCTTGCAAGTCTTTTACGAAGACCGTCGAATGAAAAGATAGTCCAGTAAGTAGTCCTACTTCGAGGTCGACACAGCGAAGATGAGAACAATCCCTTTTTTTCGAGCATGGCGAGTGATCTACTCAGTAGACACAGGGAGCCCCGCTCAAACATGCATGTGAGTAGGCTTTATCGTTCACCCCCGGCGAGCCGAATCATTACTGACAATCATTTGGTTCATCATTTATTTTCACAGCACCAGCTGAGCTTTCAAAGATATTGTGCCAACGTGAAAGATGACAAAGCTCACTGACACTCGGATACATCATCTTTCCTCATTTTGTTTCTCGTGACAGACAGCATGCACGGCATACCCTTTATAATTAGCTTTTGTACAATAAAGATACCCATCCGATAAACAATGACTACTATTTCTGACAAAGAGCCTTCTACTTCCGTCTATTTTGCGATTGATGAACTTCCACCGTAACGTTTGCGATATTCTTTCATTCCAGTAATTTCTGTAGCATACCCTCCACGACTTTCCATGAATGTGATGATTTGGTCTAGGCCAACAACGCTGAGTACGGGAACATTGAGTCTCTGTGAAACGACTTCTACAGTACTTCGTTCATCTTGATCATTGATACGTTCTTGACGATCCAAAGCAATGCATACACCAACCAAGGTGGCATCTTGAGCTGCTTCGATGAAAGATACTGCTTCATTGATAGCCGTTCCAGCAGTCATAACATCATCCAAGATCAATACACGACCTTTAAGAGGTGCACCAACCAGAGTACCACCTTCTCCATGAGTTTTAGCCTCTTTACGATTATAAGAGAATCCTACATCGATACCATGATGCAATTTAAGAGCCATAGCAACAGTTGCTGCGAGAGGAATACCCTTTGGAAGATCAAGAGATGTAAAGGATGATATGTATTAGAATTTCAGCCCATTATCTATTCACTTCGGCTTCCGTTTACAATGCCAGACTTACCTTGTAAGCAGGACCAAAGAGAACGTCGAACTGTACGCCAGATTGGATGATCCTTTGTGCATAGCAGCTTGCAACTGTAGAAATGCTTTCTCCTGTGCAAAAAAGGCCTGCATTGAAAAAGTATGGAGATTGACGTCCACTTTTCAACGTGAAAGGGCCTCCAAATTTGAGTATAGAAGAAGAGAGTAATACGTAAAGATAGGATTCTTGATATGCTTCCAATTTGGCTGAATTTTGTGATGCACCAGACTTATACTCAGAAGACAAAGCTGCCATTATGACGATTAGGGTTTTCAGCCAAGAGTCGAGCCAAAACAAGGAGGGTGGTTGTCGTCCGTCATTCAAAGAAGAAAGTTTTGACATGCGGTAAAGGACCAATTGCATATAAAATTTGTATTACGTAATCTTACGCTAATTTGATCTTCGCGATTTTTTCTCATAAAAATTTTGGCAATAAGAATCTCAATTCGATCATCATTACCATGATCACAAATAATGGTGGCAAGCCTTACATCAACTGACTCGGGTCCATCAAATCTGGCCAATCGCTCAAATCATTCGACAAAGGAAGATTCAAAAAGAGCTCTTCGAGCGCCACCAGCTCAAATATCATCGGATATTCTCAATGATGATCGTCTAAATGCTGCCATTCAAACGTATTTGCCGACCAACTACAATTTCGAGATTCATAAGACTATCCATCATGTCAGACATTACGGCAGTACATGTGTTGCTTTACAAATGCCCGAAGGACTCACACTTTGGGCAACAGCCATCTCTGATATAATTGAAAGGTTTGTCAATCAATCAGGAAAAATTTCTGGAGCGTAATCAAAGCTAATCTTGTCTTCTTCATACCTATCAACAGATTCACAAGAGCACAAACTGTAATCATGGGTGATGTCACGTATGGTGCTTGTTGCGTGGACGATTATACAGCAAGGGCTTTAGGTGCTGATTTGTTGATTCATTATGGACACAGTTGTTTGGGTAAGCATACAAATTTGGAAAAGTTCAACTTCCGTAAATTTTCTCCTGACTTTTTCTTCCTTTTTATGACAGTGCCTGTTGATCAAACCTCCATTCGAACTCTCTATGTATTTGTGGAGATCGCTATCGATCCCGATCACATTTGCGCTACAATTCGAACCAATTTTCCAGCTCTGCACGCCGAATTCCAGGAATCCATCATTCAAGATCTAGATCGTCGCACAAATGCCGTTGGAAAATCAAAATTGCAAATCGATATTGAAGAAGATGGTCATCAAGCTTACCAGAAGCGACCTACGCACCTTGTATTGGTTGCCACGGTGCAATTCATCAATTCGTTGCATGCATTGAAGGATAGATTGGAGAAAAGTGAAACCCAAGAACAGTTCTTTGACGTTGGGAAATCTAATGATGCACTTGATATCGGGCAAAGGCTTCTTTCAAATGAAGGATCAAGAGGGGAAAAGAAGCTGCTTTCTCAATCTTCTTGGCATTCATCGCCATATCGGATCACCATTCCACAAGTCAAACCTTTGAGCGCGGGAGAGATCCTGGGCTGTACTTCTCCCAAACTTGACTTGAACGAGATGAATGGAGTCGACGGTATTATCTATGTGGGCGACGGACGTTTTCATCTTGAAAGCATCATGATTTCCAATCCGAGTATTCCGGCATTTCGGTATGATCCATACGAGAAGAGATTTGTACGAGAAATGTATGATCATACTCTGATGCGCAGCAATCGAAATAAAGCTGTAGAAGAGGCCAAACAAACGCTGGCATCTGTTCTTGCACCGAAGGAGCAGAATGAAGATACCACTTCGCAATTGAAAGGCTGGGGCTTAATCTTGGGCACTTTGGGTAGACAAGGATCAACCCGTGTTTTGGCCCATCTACGCTCGATGATGGCATCCAACGTGATGCCCTCAATACCGATCTTGCTCTCTGAATTGTCACCGCAGAAGATTGCCCTCTTTGGTCCAGATCTTGTTACCTATGTTCAGACTAGTTGTCCCCGTCTTTCGATTGATTGGGGAGATGCTTTTCCAAAGCCATTACTGAGCCCTTACGAGGCTGCTGTAGCCTTGGGAAAGGCAAAAGGATGGCATGTACCGTCGAAGGATATAAGCCAGAAAACGTCTCGTATGAAGCAAGGCACGCAGGTTCAAAATACCATGGAAGGCGATTATCCCATGGACTTTTATGCTGACGGAAGCCTCGGACCTTGGACTCCTCGTCATGGAATGGGCGTGAAGAAGGGGAACAGCAAAGGTATCAGTAATCGAGATTTACTGAAGCGTGGCAGGAAAGCTGAAGTTGCCTAACTCCTGTTCACCTTGTATTCAATAGCATATCTGTACTATATACGGTCCAATATTGTATTCCAGCAATTTGATATTAATTTTGACGGCGAAAGCTTTGTTTTTCGATGAACAATAGCAATAAGAGAGTGCATGCGATAGAACTCAAATGGTACTTTCTTGTGTATCATTTCGCTTTTGGCTTAAGGAAGCGCTGACTTCCTTGAGTACTTCATCGATTCCTCTCGATCTAATCACATTCGCATCTACTCCTAAAGCAGATGCCATGTCATCCACTGATTTGGCTTGGGAAACTGATGCGCGAAGATCCCCGAGCTTCTGCTTATTCCAACGTAATCGATTGGTCTTCAAAGGCGGAGCACCAGGCACGATAGAGGATGAAGGTTTCATTGCCAGTGACTGAAGGCAGTACTTTGTATTTCCATATTGATTGTCCAATGCTATTGCCAATTTCACCCATTCGGGTGCAATGATCTCCGGGACACTCAAAACACCTTCAGGCCGAAAACAGCTCGGATTGCCTTCAGGTCCACGTGCCATCATCACGGCGCTCACACCGGTTTTTTGCATTAATGAACGTGCTTCAGCTGCATCCCAAGCATCACCATTGCAGATCAAAGGTAATTTTCCGCCACTCTCTTGATCCACAATTTCTTTCACTTCTTGCAGTCTATGTGGTAAGGCAGGCTCTCGCGGTCTCATCGTTTTGGTACGACAATGCAGGGTCAAGGCATCAATGCAATTTGTGCGAACAATCTTTCGAACCAAGTTTTGCGTTTCCTCCTTCGTAGGCAAAAGACGAATTTTGCATGTGACCGAAACGTGTGATGGTGCGGCTATACGCATTGCACGTAGGATATCGCACAATAGATCTGGCGTGCTCAATAATTGTGCTCCCATTCCTCCAATCGTACTGAAAGATTTGGGACAGCCGCAATTCAAATCAACACCTGCCACTTCATCATGAGCAGTGATGAATTTGATGGCCTTATAAGCCCATTCAGGAGAACTGCTGCCTAATTGAAAGATTAATCGATCACGTTCGATAGGATGCGTTGTAAAGATGTGCTTTCCCTCTCTGCTATATGCGACCAGACCTGTCTTTTCGTTCACCGTTCGATCACAGCCAATGATCGCCCTATCTACAATCTCTGGGCTCCATACTAGATCTGCTCCGTACTGTAACGATAACAGTCGAGTTGGAAGAGCTCCTATCCGTACCATTGGTGCTAAGAACAACCCATTTGCAAACGATAAGCTGTGCTGCGATTGCAGCGGCTTGGTAACAGAAAGGAGCTGCTTGATCTCGTCGAGATCATGAGAGGAATGAGTTGGGAGCGGTATATCTCCCGTTTCGGCACATTGTGTTCCGTTTTCGATCGGTTTTTGCGGTTGATCTGACGGGGCTATAGGCTGTTCTAATTCTATTTTTCTTTCGTGATCAACTTGAATTCCATTCATGTCCATAGGTTCCAGTTTTGGTCGCTTATTTGGGAATGGATCGTGATTGTGCGTTTCGCTTGCAGGCACGGCAGAAGACATGATGAAACGATCAAGGAGCGATTGCTTGATACGGTATGAGAGAATAGGTTTGCTTGCTCGATTTGATGCGGGATAGTTTACCGGACGAAGCAAGATTCGAGTATAGCTCAATAAACCACAACGCATAAACGCAAGATGGACATTACAGCAAAGAGCAGTGTTGATGGTAAGAATGAATGCAGAACAAAGGATTGTCTGATTCGTAAAAATGGTCTAAAAATTTTAATCGGCTTTCGGACATTAATTCTCACTTCTTTTGACTGATGATGTGCCGCGTTTTTGATACAAGCAAAAACAAATAATTCTAAAGTTTTGACCCTCAATGTAAAAGAACATTTGTTGGACTTCTTCTCTTGCTCATCATCATCTTGTGATCGTGATAGAAAATATGGCCGAAAGTTCTCCTTTGAAGGCCATGATGGCTCCTATATATCTCCCAGGGCAGGAGCCTCTGCCTCCAGGTTTCACAGAAGAAGATCGGGCAAACATGGCACAAACATTGTATTGGCAAAAAACAATGACAGGTGCTATGGAATGGTGTCCTACGAAATGTGCTTTAAGTGGAGGAGCAGGATTTGCTTTAGGTGGCTTTTTCGCTTTGTTCAGTGCAAGTCTTTCGGTTGATGATCCATTGCGAAGGAGTAACCTTGCTGCTGCTCAATTAGCCGCCCAAGAGAGAGGTTTACCTCCTCCTCCTGAGCCAACAACGATGCAACAAACGAAAGATTTCTTTCGCGAAACGGGAAGGAGCATGTATAGAAGTGCTCGTGGGTTTGGAAAAGTGGGAGCGCTATATTCAGGTATAGAGTGTTGTATTGAAGGGGTAAGTGAATCCGTGTGAAAGGGAAGTAGTCAACCACTAATTTGTCTCACCTTTCTCTTTCTTTTAAACAGTATCGAGCCAAGAATGATATCTACAATTCACTTTATGCAGGATTCTTGGCTGGTGGTATTTTGGCTCGCAATGCAGGACCAAGAGCAGCGGTAGGAGGAGGAATCGCATTCGCTGCATTTAGTGGAGCGATTGATATGTAGTGAGTATGATTCATACTAATCATGATGAAGATCTATGGGCTTATCGATTTATATCTCCTTCACAGCTTCCGCAGAGAACCAGCAGATGATCCTTGATCACTATGAGGTAAAAAAATTGTATTTGTACGCAATCAGATGATTTATGCTGATGAAAGATTAAGAGTGACACGACGATAGTCCGAAAGCAGTGCCATTCCATCATTATAAGTCAGTGATTAATCGAAACCATACTGAAAAGTGCTAGGCCTATAGCTTGAAAATCATGATACGTTGAGAAGTGTCATGCCGTCAATGGTTGTTAGTGATCAGTGAAAGCCAGCAGTCATGAGAAGTGCTGTACCTATAACCCAGACCACTAAGCTATAAGAGGTAACAAATCGTCAAAATAAGTCGGTGATTCGTGAAAGTCAATAGGTAGTCGTCATGATAAATGCTAAAACTGTAACCTGAACCATCATACGTTAAGAGGTACTATTTGTTGTATATATACATTACATTAATTAACGTATGTGAATGTTCGAACGCGCGCGTTCTTGAATCTAGCGATACGCTTTATGCCACACGTCGTTCTTGTTTTACGGCGCGGCATGAGCATTGATGGTAGCCCAGAAAGTGAGCAACAACCTTCTCTCTCAATTCTACCATTCAATCTTTTCACACGAATGTATACATATACTTCAATATGACCTCTAATGGTCAATCACACCTATACGATGCTTATGAAAATGGAATTCAACAACAATCATCTTCATTTTTCGGCTTTCGATTCACGTTTGCTCAAGGCTTTTTAGCCGGTCAATTAAGTGTAATCATTATTGCTCTCTTTGCCATTCGTTATATAATCTTTGAAGATTCAAAAACATCACAAAAATCTACTAAGAGACCTTTGCATATACCTATCCGCACATCAAAAAATCGCAAAAGTGGGTTTTTATCTTCCAGTTCGACATTGAAAGATATTTCTCGTTCGACTCGAATGCAGGATAGTGAAGCAGATGTACCAAGAATGATGGCAGATATAATGAACAGAGTTCAATATGAAATGGACAGTCATGCAAGCGAATCAATCGATTGGATAAATGTGATTGTAGCACAAGCACTGGCAGGTTACAGACAAGACATTAAAGCCGGTGGATGGTCACACGATCAGGATGATGAACGAGAAGATGGAAAGCGAACGAAACAGGTTGATGGTGAGGAAGGGAAAGAAGAGGCTATAATGCAAAGAACAGCACGCGATTGGATGGAAGAAATTCTTAACTTGAATACTGTTGGACGTGGAATGACATTTTTGGATCCTATTCAGGTTACCCAAGTTGAATTTGGAGATGCATATCCAATATTTTCAAATGCCAAAGTACGGCCAGCAGATGATATGGGCAGAATGCGAATTGAGGTGGATATCGATTATGCAGACTGTATGTCACTGGCAATCGAAACCAAGTTGTTGATCAACTTTCCAAGGCCCAGATTTGCAGTCTTACCTGTTTCCCTTGGCTTGACTATCGAACGATTTTCGGGAACCATGGCGATCGAGCTTTTCTCCAATTCATCCACTCAAGCTTCTCCAATCCCTCCCACAGCATCAAAGAGCGAACCTCCTAGAAGCCGACACGAATTGCACTTCTCTTTACATCCTGATTTCACCCTTGACGCAACAGCTTCCTCTTTGGTAGGCTCAAGGGCAAAGCTGCAAGATCTTCCAAAAATTGAACAATTGCTTGTAGGCAGGGTACGGACCTACATACACGATCGTTTCGTTTGGCCAAAGTACTGGACTCTCACTTTGCCAAATCTCGTTCCGCGGCATGTGCACAAAAAGGATACGATTGACGTTCAGAAGTTCGCCCAACAGAGTCCTAACACTCCAGTTGATGATTGGAGGTACGATAAGAGTGCAGTCGCCGCAAACAACTTTAATAACAACAATAACGATGAAGGTCTTGTACAAATTCGAGGTCCAGACGATACGATGGCCGAACAGGGAGATGCACAAACGAATCGAGGAGAAAGGCAGGGAGTCTTTTTTGAAACGGCTCCACCACTTTTCCCTGGTATATTGCATCCTCCACCGCATCCTGATCAGGCATTACCGGGTGGCTTGCCAACAGTAGAAGCATGGCGATCGCATGCTGCAGCATCTGGCACTGGACCTGCATCTGCTACACATCGATCGCTAAGACATCGTACACACGGTCATGATTCATAATATAAATCTACATAAACTAGATGTTGTATAATGTACAAATGGATAAATTGTATCTATATCGCCTTTAATGTCTCCGTACCCTCTTCCTCTTTGGTATCTGTTCCAAACCATCTCCAAAGCTTCCGCTAGCACCGCCACCCAAAGGCATTTGACGATCCTTTGCGGAATTCTTTTTTCTCCTTCGTTCGACAGCTTTTTGAAGACTACTTCGTTTTGCAGATGAAGTTGAGTCTAATGGGTTCTGTCCATTGCTTAGGTGCTCGAATTTGTCTTGTAAGATCAACTTCTTCTTATCGGATTCTTTGAGATAATATCGTTTACCTCCTTTTTGTACACGTTCTTCAATCGCCTTTTGTGCATTCCGCAAAACTTCATCCTTCCTTTCACGTCTTTGCCTTTCGTTTTCTCTTCCCTCTTCACGTCTTAAAGCTTGTTCGATCTGTTCACGTTCTTGACGAAGTCGTAAAGCGAATTCGCTCGTTGCTTTCGGTCCGGCTTGATGCTTTTCTTGTCTCTTCAATTTGGCCAGTGCAAATCGTAATTCTCGTATTTCGCTTGATTGTTGTTCTCGTAGAAAGCCATATGAAGAACGGAAAAGACCTTTATTAGTCGTTGAAGCGCTTAACGATGAGAAGCGAGGATCACGCCTTTCTGTGGATGCTGTTTCCACTACGCTACGTTTGCGTGAAACCGGTCGCCTTGAAGATAGCTCTGTTGGGCTGTGAATAAGGCAAATTTGGATTATAGGAGTCAGTACGATCAATAAAGTTGAATAATGCAATTGATAAACTCACGCATGTTTGCTCTCTCTCTTTTCAATCGCTCTCCTTTCTTGCTTTTCACGTTCTGTCTTTCGATCAACTTCGAATTCATCAACTTCAGAGCTCGAATGATTTTGATCACCTTCATCCGAGATATCTGCGTCTTGTCTCATCGTTCTGTTTGCTTTTGCTAGAGCGGAAAAAGGGATGCGTTCCATCTTTTCGCGCAGAGATGATTCTTCATCTTGATTCTGTGGAGGAACATCTTCAGAGCTGAGAATGCCTTCATCATCATCAGATGTTCCTTCTCCATCGCTATCAAAGTCTTCATCGCTATCCATATATTGTGCAAATTTGGCTTCTTCTTCACCCTGACTTTTAGTGTTCAACGCTTCTTCCTGATCTGGTGAAGATAGGTTTTGATCATATTCTTCTTCGATGTCGGACTGATCCCATTGCTGTGCAACCTTTTTCCTACCCATTGCCAAAGAAGAGTGTGTGTGCGATGATAGTTGAGAAGAAGTGTTCGTCATTTGTTTCAAAATTCGTAGAGGTAACATTTTTTTGTAGTACACAGCGTACTAGTAATAATACATTATATACATTACACGCCCAGGAACAACTTTTGCAGCATCCCAGCGTAGCGTAAATTTCAACTTTTCCCCTTACTAAAACCATATCACCTCTTCCTCTTTTTCGGTCATTTTGCGACAGTATGCTATATGGCTAGTTGGGGCTTCAAATTTATCAAATGCCAAAATGAGCTCTGAATCCAGCCAAATGGCTTTCACAAGGGCTCAATCAATGCATTCAAATATTAGTGGAAAAAAAGATCACGAAAATAAGAATGTCATATCCTTCATTCATGCTTCACCCACATCATCTCCAGCAAGAGTCACAGAAATGACCAACGTCTCACCAACGCCACCTCCTTCATCGAAATCGAACAATAAAGACCAATTCATTCAAACATCATCTTCACAACGTAATGCGGGGCGATTACCTCCAACGGTCGATCCATCTTTGATACATCAGTGTCAATCAACACGATTGGCATTCTCCAAAGCCCTTGCAAACGATCAAATTGCCGCTTCTGAGCCAGACTATCGTACTTCTTTCAAGAGTGCGAATGATGTGGTAAAACGCCTATTGCCCTATCACGTTTGGCATGTTCGCGATGAAGATATTCTGCATGTCCTCAATGATCGTCAATCCAAGAAAAGGTTGAAAGAAGATAGAGTCGATGTCGAAGATAATTCGATGGGCAAGGCAGACGAAGCTCAAAAGGTTCTCTCTGCATCTGTATCACTAGTAAAGCGAAGGAAGAGGCCAAGAGGAAAGGGCGCTTCTCCTATTCAACAGATCGCAAAACAGTATCCAACCATTGCGGAAGCAGATCATTCATGGCAAAAATATTTGGATATCCATTCTCGTGCAAAAGGATTGCAAAGTACGTTGATAGGAGCACAGTCCGTACAGGCACCTGCCCCATTTGCACAAGAAAGCAGATATCACTTAGAAAAGATGGCGTGGGAAGAGGAGAGGGAAGCATTAGTGGAAAATCAACGAATTTTGAGGGTAGTACGAGAGGATGCAATGGCAAAAGGTGTTCCTTGGAGTGCTATTCTTCCGATTCTGACCGGAGAATTGCAAAAAGGATCTGGAGATGAATCTGATTCAGAAGAAAGGAGCGAAGATGAAGAGGATGATGTGGATAGCAGCGATGTGGGAAGTGAAGATGGCCACCAAAGTGCCACTATAAGAAAAGGAGAGAACAAGACAGCACAACATAAGTTTATGCGAGAAGTTACAAAACCGAGAGGTAGACCGCGAAAGGAGCGTGACGAATATGGTAAAATTATTCGACCGTCCACTTCGACAACGATGCCAACAATTCATTCAAGTGCAGATCAACAATCAACTCAAAGTACGAATGCAGGACCTTCGCTTCCTTCACCTGCTTCAAACATGAAAGGAGGTACTGCGACGAAAGAAGAACAAAAGCAGCAAGGCGGTGAATCCAGTACTGCATCTTCGTCTTATGTCATTCCATCACAGCCTATTCGATTGGTTTTGCCATTCTCTACCTTGACACAATTATCAGCTTTAGGAATTAATCCTATTCCCGCTTCTCATTTATTACCAGCAATCGCAGCAAGACAAGCAGCAGCATCATCACCTGCCACATTCTCGATGGATCAATTCGATACGGCGCCTAGACCATCGCCTGTTGATCAACAAGAACCTGCTCTTTTGATGGGATTCACATCAACTTCTGCTATGAAAGAGAATCAGTCACAAGAAGATTCCCTAAAGAAGCAGCAATCTGCTTCATCGCAAAATGATGCTGAAATGATTCATATTAGTTTAGTTTTAAGCAAATTAGGTCCATCCCAATTATCTGGCTTGGCAACTTTGATGCAAAGAATGCAATCGAATGGTAAATGAGATTGAAATTCTATGTATTATGGTGAGGTGAATTGTATATTATTCTATGTACTCTATTGTGATCGCCATTTCAATGTATATCTCCACTTCAATGAAAGAGAAGGTGCGGCGGGATTGCATTAATGGCCCAACCCCATTTATTGATAAGATCGGAGTTCTGGGCCTTTTCATTCACCGCTTGTCTAAAAGATTCATACTCCTTTGATCGGCAATTGAATGCCATTAAAAAGACGGCCTTCTCCGTTTTGTTTTTTTTGAGATAAAGATTCGGAAGCCGAATAATGTGTGTATATTTTGATCGGGGTAAAGGATTAATTCTTGATCTTAAATTGAAGCATATCGAATAGACTCTTTATGCATTTAGATTGACAACTTCTGGTGTGGGAACAAGGCCTGTCAAAACGAAGGTGCATCTCATCAAAAGAAGTATAAGCCACTAAATTCATTCTAGGCCCAAGATCTAAATAAAGGCTTGCACAAGCCTGACAGTTCCAGTGCCTCATTTTACGCGTTTCAATAAAAAAAAAAAAACTCTGGCCTTGACAGGATACACTGACCGAATGCCCTTTTATTTTTTCTTTTGCAATTATTAAGGAACATAAATCCAGACCGAAATGCATACATGCATGCATGCAAAACAAGTTCAAAAGGATGACAGGAAAAGATTTCATACGCCGTCATTTGGTTTCATGCTGCATTCACACTACCTACATACAATCATTCAACTTAAAGCATACAAAAGCGGCGATTGATTTCCCTTCCGAAATGGCGAGTTTGCGATTGTGTATCATGCATACGTGGGGAAAGAAAACGCAACCAAAGCCACAACTAATGAATAATAATAGCTTTAGACTTTTAGACTGTTGTTCTAATTGTAGAAGAACGTGAAGTAAGATTGAATTTTCATGCATTCCAGTAAGAATCTCACTCTGATACAATCATCTTCTTTTGACAAACGTTCCTGATTCTTACGATAAGATCGAAGCAATTCATTAGCATCAGGAACGTTTGAAAGATGACAATTTCATCTTGAACCACAACAATCCGTTTGGCCTTGAGTTGACTTCCAACACCATCATCTTCATCATCCTAGAGAGAACAACGAAAATCACACTCAAACATCTATCGATAAGATCAGCCATTTCATCTCGACTCTTCTTTTATCATTTGGCCAGAATACAAACATCCTCATTTGTCTCAACTCGTCATTAGGTAAGTATCAGATTTGCTATTCATTTCATATCCTCCCTTCTTTCCGCTACCTGTCCTTGTAAGATGTATCATTGGAAAAGAGTGTTCGATTTCGTCATTGGTGGAAGCTGTTCGGACTTGAAACAAACTTAATGGCATGTATACAACTTGTTCTGGTGTTGAAAAGTGTTGGCGTTATTTGGGCTTAACCATCATCACTCAACAAGCCATCACTTCAATACAAAAGGGCGAAAAGGAACGGAACTAGAATTCATTTCTGTGTAGAAATCGGAGCATACATTTTACGCCTCACTCGTTCGTTCGTTATCAGTACGCCAATCGCGTACCGTACTGATGGCCATTCGGATCGTTTCGCTCAAACAGATTATGATTCTCAATCACGGTATTACCATATCCATTTCATCATTGTCGGACTACAACCGTTGGCATAAGCATGAAGCAAAGACTTGCTGTTGTCATTCTTTCCATGTCATTCTCACCTCAAAAGACACAGCTTGGCGTTTCGGCACCGAGCGGAGACGTACGAGAAAATTGACTCTTTTTGGCGTATCGAGAATTGTGACTTCATCGAATAAAAAAGCCAAATTAAGTTCATCAATTCGATGACCGCTACCGCTTTGCGTTGGAGGGAGTTGATCATCCTTTGTATGAAGGGAATACATGAAAGTACAAGAAGCGAAACTGAAAGGTCAACTTGCGCACAGTATTCAGGATTTCAAGAATATCTCAATGAAGCAATGAACAGAAAGGTCATCTTGTTTTGCAAGTCTGATCGAGCCTTTAAAACGATCTTCATCATCTGGTTTTCACTCCTTCTTCGGACTTTCAAGGCAAAAGTTTTGCTCAGCAAATCAGAATCGTTGTCTAAGCTTCCGTCAAAGTCCGACAGAGTAAGACAAGGAGGACAACTGCAAAAGCGCCGATCGCAGTATGGCACAGTCAATTCCGACAATTATTGTATCAACGGAATTACATGACGGGACGCAAGCTTACCGTGTGGGACTGCAATTCGTTTCGTAATTTTCGGATGTGATATCAAAGTGAAATGATCTGGTATACGTTCCTCGTTCTTTCGCTCTACTTTCCAAGTGCAAAGTACCAATGCTACTTTCATCGCTCTGCAACTTTACCCAATGGTTTCGTTTTGTTTGGCGTTTGTCATTTTTGATGGGCGTTCAAGCACGTAACCATTGCCGGTGCCGTGAAGGATTGGACGAATTCCTCTAACAATGATCAACAATGGAGGTTATCAATGCATATGTTGAGCATCAATGCATGCATGCATGCAAGAAAAAACGTTGAATCAGGAGCGGAAGCATGACTGCCGATATTATTCTTGCAGACAATTCGTGTCCATTTTTTGAAGCAATTTTAAGGGATATGAAGGTCCGATTCGATTCTTGTTGTTCTGTTGTATTGCACCATTTCCTTGCTTTTTTGATTCTCCACAAACCTCTTTTATTCCCAGACGAAGTTTGGAAACGTATAAAGTACAACGGAATTCTTTACTGACTTTCACCCTTTTTTCCTTCCTCTTTCTTCGTTGACAATCAATCTTACATTTCAATCCTTTCTAGCTTTCATCATTCATGTCTAGTCGTTTAACAGACTTCACGCAGTGGGACCCTCAATATCAACATTCGCAACATTACACATACGCAAATTCTTTCAAGATGTCGTACAACCATCAACCACGTCATGCGCCTTCATTGAATATTGCAGCTGCGGCTGCAGAAGCAACGCAAGGATCTGATCTACCTGTTGGGAACATGACAAACACTTCATCAGGCCAATATCATTCTGTCCAACCTCAAACGCAAGTCAATGGACCATCATACAACTTGCCATTTTCCAATAATTCGATGCAATACATGTCCGGATCTCCTTTGTATTCCAACTCGAACAATCATCCTTTGAGCGCTGGTGCAAGTTCTCATGGTGGCTTTCACAACGGTCGTCATAGTGATTTCAATAATGGCTCTACTATGTCAATGAGTGCTTCATCAATGCAAACTTCGTATGATTTCCATCATCAAGGTAGCTTACAGTCCCCAAGCCATTCGGATCTAATCTCTTCTCATCCATTTGATAATCCTGGCATGTTTCCGGTGAAGGCTAAAAGGAAACAAGTAAAAAATGCTTGCGTCAATTGTCAAAAAGCATGCAAGAGATGCGATGAAGGAAGACCATGCTCACGTTGTATAAAATACGGCTTGACGGCTACTTGTATGGACAGTGCCCGTAAAGAGCGAAAGAGAGGAATCAAAAGGGGACCTTATAAAAGAAGAGCAACAACTGGATCTCAACCAACGGGAACGAATTGGGGCAATCATTCTTATCTGCATTCTTCTTCATCCTCAATGATGCTAGGACACGGGAATGGATACAGCACTTCTCCTCATCATCATCACAATCATCATCATGGAATGGCCTTGCATTCTGCTCCTCTTTATTCAACAACGCAGCCAATGCGTTCTAATTTGAACGAAGGACAGACATCTTTCAATGACGTTTCACGTTCACCGATCGACCATTTACCGCACGGTTCTACTGATTCATTGATCAATAATACATCTGCTCCTGCAACTGTACAAAGGCCAACGATTCCTTTAAATTCATTATCGTATGATACAGCTTCAAGTACTTCTCCTTCTATGTATGGAAGAGAACACAATCCATCCAACGGCTTTTTAAACGCAAGCTCAAATCATCATCGTTTGCACAACAGCGAAAATGGATTAGCTATCCTTTCAAACGGATCGACGGCTACAACATCCTCTATCTTATCACCAAGAACACCGAATGGATCTAGTGAAACGGGAAACAATGTTGTGGGAGAATATCACCTTACGAGTACATCACCTGGAGGACAGCAAAAGATGAATGGAAACAATACCACAACTTCTTCGTTGACAAATCTTACTACGGGTGCTTTTCTCAATCCGATGAACCAATCCGGTAATTCAACTTTTCCACTTCATTTACCACAAGCTGCACGTTTACGTGGAATGAATAACGGATCAACTCCTTTGCCTTTGAACGCATTTGCGAATGAGAAGAGTTCGATCAACAACTTCGATTCTCGTCCACGTTACAATAATAGTTATAGTCATGACGAATCATGCACACCGGTAAACGCAAACCATAACAATAACGAAGTGGAAGGTTTTGAAGTTGATCGTGCTTCGCAATATTTACCTAGAAAGCGCTTTGTTGCTTCCAGTCCAATCGTTCGTCCATTGTTGTAACAATACCAGTTCCTTTTTCATATATCTGTTTGCCATTCTTTCTCTTAATTCCTGTAATTTGTACATCTATCTCTGTTTTGTCAAATGATAGTGTGTTCTTATTGAAAGATTACCTAAAGGACGAAAGTCTGAGTAGAGTGATTGATTCTGGATTGATATTGTACAGAGGAGCCGTTGAATACAGCGGGTATATTTAAATTCATTGCGATTGATCCCTCAAAGAAGTTGAAGCGCCTGTGATCAATTCTGATGAGAACAAATTGTCAGATCTAAGCATACACCTTGCCACCAACTTCAAGAATTACTGACCTTCTATTGATGATTCCAGTGCATCGATTCGCTCTGACATTTCTTTCACTAGATTGAGAGAGAAGCATTCCCATTAGTACAACAAAAACTTTCAATCGACTCTTCATCGCTTGCTCACTTCTACTTTCAACTTGTCCGCTCATTACAGAAAAGCGTGATTCAAGTTGATCTAACACATTATCCACCCAATCTGTCAATTCGTGTGGACTACTGATGCTCGAATCATTGAAGCCAATGTTCGCATCTTTTGTACTGGTGTGATTGTTTGACAAAGTGGCTGCATGATCGGTAGAGCTATTTGCGTTCGTGTTCATATCAGAAGAAAAAATTTGTTTCTCTGCTTCATTGTTTCGATTGCTATCACCTTCTCCAAATCGGGCGTCGTTCCCGCTGTGCTTTGTTGTTGATGCGGTTTGCAAAGGCGGTAGGGTAGTCATGATCTTAGAAAGACGTGAGCGCCGTCTTTTGTCATGATTGTGAAGGTGAGGAGTAAAAGTTGGTGAGTTAGTAGTCAAATTAGACCAAGTAAACGCGCATCACATTGCGCATAAAGGGGGGGGGGACAGTGCGTAAAAGTTAACAATGATGTCTTTTCTGTCCAACTTCCATCATAATCGAAAAGGCTTTTCAAGATGAAAAAGAAGATCCTTCTGATGGGCCGATCTGGTTCAGGTAAAACTTCTATGCGAGCTCTAGTCTTTTCTGCTTATCGTGCAGCTGACACCGATCGATTAGGACAAACATTGGACGTAGAACATTCCCACGTTCGCTTTTTGGGCAATCTCGTTCTGAACCTTTGGGATTGTGGTGGTCAACAAAGTTATATGGATAATTATTTGGATAGTCAAAGGCATCAAGTTTTCAGTGCTGTGGGCGTTTTGATTTACGTATTTGACTTGGTAGGTGAAGATAGCGAAGAATGGGATAAAGACGTTCGAAGTTACAAAGAATGCCTTTCTGCACTACAAGATAATTCACCCGATGCACATGTGTTTTGCTTATTGCACAAGATGGATCTGGTTGATGCTTCAAGGAGACGATCCGTCTATGCTTCCCGGGTAGAAGAGCTACGCAGGAAGAGCGAAGGTACGCAAATCAATTGTTTCGCTACAAGCATTTGGGATGAGACGATCTATAAAGCTTGGTCTAAGATCATTCATACTCTCATTCCCAACGTCACTGATCTGGAACGAAGGCTAGACTATTTCGCACGAGCGAATGGCGCAAAAGAAGTTGTAATTTTTGAGCGAACTACATTCTTGGTCATTTCAAAAAGCACTGAACGATCGAACGATTTATCCAAATCCGAACAAGAACGACAAATAGAGATGAAAATGGAAGAAGAAGGTTATCCACCCGCCGATTCAACCGCTACTGTGGCAATCGATGAGAGTGGCTTGTATCCTGGTCGATTCGGCAAGATAAGTCAATTGATCAAAGGTTTAAGATTAGCATGCTCAAAACTTCAATCCCAATTTCAAGCAATCGAGATGCGTACGAATGCATTCTCTGCTTATTTGGATATCCTGACTCCTAATACCTACATCATGGTCATCACAGCAGATCCTAAGATCGAACTTTCTGCCATCAAACTAAATACGCAATTGGTTCGCGATCACTTTGAACATCTGCCTGCTCTCAATATCAGTGGCCGATGAATTTTTCGACAAATGTATGATAGCACAATGTATTTTAATCAATCGACAAAAAATTGTAGAAGGGAAGAAGAGAAGAATGGAGTAGAAGAATGTAATAGAATAGAATAAAAGAATAGAGTAGAAGAATAGAAGAGAAGAGAAGAGTAGAAAGTATTGACAAGTGACGTAGTGGAAGATTATCGGAAAGATCAACATTGAGTCAGATGAACATCTTTAAGTAGTAACGGTTACTGATTCATCCAATTTGTCGAAAGCAGGCTTGCAAGGTATCCATCCTGCTTTGCCAAAAGCATCCGGAAAGCGTAAATCGAGTGCTATAGACGTGGCAGAAGCAACAGGGGACAATGCTGAAATAGATCGGATTCGAAATCTATAGTTGATCCTGCTTCTGGTGTGACAAGAGGTACAAAGAAAAGTTTCGGCAATTTCGAGCAATATTCCGTCTCGTCGCAAGAACTAAAATGAGCAATCGAGTATGTCGGTTCGTGAACCTGTTGAGAGACAGGCTGGAACTGATGAAGCACCGATAAGAGCGATACATAGAAAGATGAACTCGATCACTTTTCCTAGATCAAGAACCGTTTCAACCATTTCAGAGGATTTGTTCAATCAACAACCAGGCATCGCCACCGCTAAACCTCAGCCTGCAACTTTCCCTTTGGATGAGATACCTCTAATGGTCCTTTTGGATTAGGTACGTCTGGTATACCTGTCTGATGTGCTAACTCTTCCGATCCTTTCTGATGTGGTATCTCTCATAATTCCTTCTGATGTGGTAACTATACCTGTCTTTCCTAATGTGGTACCTCTGACGATCCTTTCTGAAGTAATACTTCTCCCGATCCTTTCTGATATGATACCTCTAACGATCCTTTCTGATGAGGTATCTCTATTAATCCTTTCTGATACGATACCTCTGACGTTCCTGTCTGATATAACACCTCTACCAATCCTTTCTGATATAGTGCCTCTCCTGCGAAAGTCCAATGATGAAGGAAAGAGTCAAGCATAAAACTCAGTCTTTTTAGTGACTTTCTTCTTGCATAAAAGTCACCCTACGCTAATGCGGCGTATACGTAGGCGTGCGTGCATAGCATTCATTCATTGTCAGCCAACTTGATTACTTATCCTCTTGGATGACCATGATGAGAAAAGACTTGAATTTGAATAGCCCATTCAAAAAAAGCATGTCATATCATACCTGCTGCTCCCGTTGTACATGCATCGATGGGTCATTTCACTGGCCATGTCAATAACAATAGGTGCATACACAAAACTTTCACCATCCAAAGGTTTGATACCTTCACTCATACCTGCAGAGCAGAGCGGTGCCGCAGAGGTCTCAACGGACGGACAAGAGAGCAGAGTGCAACAAACTTACCAAAGCAGCAAAGAAAGAACTTACCGAGAAGCCGGAAAAGCGGGATATCTTAGATCCATCGGATGGTTAGTAAGACTCATAAATAGTAGCTGCAGATGATTGGTCAAAAAGTATTCATTTGAAAGCCAGCAAAGCGGGATATCTCAAAACCATCGGATAGTCAGCAGAAAGAACTGAGGATTACGGCTGCAGATTGTGCAGATAAATCCAAGCTATCAAGCAAGCCATTATGCAAACGTCAAAGAAGCGTGATATCTCATAAGGCTGCCAAGCATCAATTGCCGGGAAGCCGAAAGAACGGGACATTTATTCCATCAGATGGTCCAACGAAAGCC